TAGTCGGCATTGAGCAATTTCTCCAGATTTCACGGCAAAGTTGTAGTAACGTTTGGATACCTGCAGTACCAGATGCTTTGATAATGTCATTTGTGAGTCCAGAGGGCCCTGCTGCCTTTCCATCCTTCATAGCTTTCAGAGCTTCTGTAAGCTCCTCTACAGTGATATCTGGAATCGGGCCTTCGATGAGTGGAGCGTCAAAGTTAACACTGATGGGATTTGTTTCGTTTAACAGACGGTTGAAGTATTCTCTCCACTGTAGCTTGATCTCATCTTGTTCAAGAACCATCTCATTTTTGTCGTTTTTAATACATGAGGCACCAACTATGTCTTTTTTCATACGCTTTGCTTGTTTTGCTATACGATACAGAGATTTCATTTGTTTACCTTTGCTTTTAGTAAGCCACTCTCTGCACTGATCTGTCCGAGCCAATGCGACTTGACGTCTTGCATAGTTGTTCTTCTCACGGAAAATTTTATGGTCATCAACAGACTTTGATTTTTGCTATTGCTTGTATGCAGCTTTCTTTTCAGCTATTGCATTACAAAATGCAACTAGGGCAGATACTGGAGTAGGTGCAGCTGCAGCTTGGTGGTGTCATTCCACCACCAAGTGTCCCGTTCATGCTGGCGTTTTGTACCAGTTTTCCCACAAACTGTAGTTGCAGCTTTTATCAAAACGGTTTTGTATGTACTCCAATCTGTACTGGATTGCGATTGGTGGTCTAACTGTGACAACAATCTGTTGAAATTTGTATCAATGAATATTGCTTTTCAGCTTCCACGTTTTGATTCTCCGCGGCACTTGTTTAGCAGTTTTATGTCATGCCCAGGACCAATTTGTATATTATATTTATATTATATTTGTATGTTATATTTATTATATTTATTTTATATTAAATATATATTAAATTAATTTTTTTTATTATTATAGACAAATTATTTAAAATTTTGTACAAAAAGTAATATGAATTGAATTTTAATTTGAAACAATTAATAGCTCACTGTGAGAATTTTGATGAGGTGAATGTTGATAAAAAGCAACTCTACGATGGGAATGCAATTGTCAAAAAATCAAGGTATGCAGTTGTTGCTTGTGGAATGTTCAAACATTTTTATCACATAATTTTTTATGACTCTTTTTAAATATTTTGTTATTGTGATTCATTACTATATCATTACATCATCATCAGCATAACATCATCATCGCATCAGCTTCAGCATAACATCATCATCCCATCATTATCACATCACCATCTTCACATAATAAGAGAATTACCAGAAGAAGCATCAGCAAGTCAGTATGAGATGAAAAGCATGAGCAAGTTGGCCTTGGAGTGTGGAGATTTCAAACCCAGCATGCCAGGAAGGACAGCAGGCCATGACCTCGACATCAACAAACCCATCAACTACTATGACACATGCATCATCAAAAAACAATATCTACCCTTATCTGAAAACCATAGTTCTTTCAAGAAGAACATCTTTGATAGTTGTAATGTAGATGAGGTGGTCGATGTTAATAAAAATTTTGTGAGTGTAACTGGTGATGAAAATGATATTTTATACAACAATTACGACCAGCAACATCATTCTGCCAACGTTCCATCATTATATGGAAAAGATAGCAAGAAGTCTTTTTTGAAAAAGTTGAAACACACCCAAGACCTCGTTCCTTCTCAGTTTTTTCCACCTCCACAAACACTCCAGCTCCCGCCAAATCCATCATCATTAGCCAGTGATACATCAAAGAAGCGAAAAAAGCCGACGACCAAAGAAGCATTTATTGCTAAAAAACGTCAAAAAAAGTTGGTGTCGCATGTCATTAAGACTCCGAAAATTGATGACATTGAGTACATTGCACCAAAGGAACCAAAGAAAAGAGGCCCAAAGCCTAAAATTAAAAAAGAAGTGATTCCTAAAACTGATGATGTGAATGTGACATATCAGGCCGTCACAGAGAGCTCGTCAACAGTTTCTATGTCTACCATCAAGTCAAAGGTTTCACCAATTGCTGACTCCAACACTGAACTCACTGTGCAAGAATGGACTCAGTGCAAAAAAAACAGCATCAAATCAAAACAGAAGAAAGGTGATATGGTTGATGCTACAAGTAAGCATAGAACATTTTCTTAACATTTGTTATTTTTTGTTGTTATTTTATTGCATTTTTCATTCAAAATTTTTTTTTATTCTACATTTTTTGTTCAATATAAAATATTATTTTTATTTGAAAATTCTAAAATTTGTTTTCCAGTGAAACATTCATTTGAGGAAAGCAGCGCTTACAACCCAACATCAGCATACACTGTTCCTTGTTGCATGACACCACCCGCACCAACAATGCTCCCACCAATCCATCCTAACCTAACAACTGCAGTTAACTGTCCAGATGATGTTGACGCTGAGGAGGAAGTGCTGCCGTGGTCAGATGAGGAGGACAACAACAATAACATCAACAACGACAACAACAACGACATCAACATTAACGTCAACAACAACAGCTTCTTCAACGACGATCATATTACTGATGTTAACCAAGCGAGAGATGTGCACAAAGTCACAGGTCTTGAACTAATTCTTGGTAGAAATAACTTGAGCAACCCAAGGAACATTGATGATGATAACAATGATGAGGATGATCATGTCGATGTATCCTCACCAATCAATCTGGTCTTTCAACCTTCTCCACCTCCACTTGTCAAGGTTTCTTATCTATTATACTCTGTACACTGTTATAATATTGCTCTGTTACATTATAATATTGCACTACCATGTTATAATGTTGCACAACATAACAAGAATGGTTTTGTTATGTTGTTAGTGAAGATTTCACCTGAAACAATAATTGTTGTGCTATTAATTTGCTATGTTGATTTAATAATAATAAAAGTTTAACAGTTCATTATAATAATTTCTATCATACATTACTAATTTACAGTTTAAAATTTTTGTAAATATTTTTTAGCAGGCTGTTAAAACTTCAAAAAAAAGTGGCGAATCGATTAATAACAACAAATGCAGCAAACCTTCAGCCAATATCGACAGCAGCATGGACAACAACATTGACACAGACGTTAGTATTAACAATCCATCTGAAAAGGTTCATAAAAAGGAGAAAAAGAAAAAACATAAAAAGAATAAACACAACACCAGCTTTGACACCAAGGACTCAAGCAACATTAACAACAAAGCCATTCAAATATTTAAAAACACCGTCATTAACAAGGGCAACGTTAATATCAACCCATCTTACAATTCAAGTGTAACCGACAGCAGCATCACCCCATCAACACCATGCTATATTGACAATAAAAATGACAGCATCAACAATGATCACTTGACACCTCTGCATAAAAAACATCCAAAAAACATCCCTAAACTTTCCTTCAATGCTGGCAAAGACAGGCCACTCTCATCCAAACCTGATCCCAAACTGGTAGCTCTTTTGTCGGCTGCCATGATCAACAGAAATGATTATCAGCAAACTAATCAGATGAGGTCTCCCAGCAGGAAAGTCTATGAGGGTAAGAAGAAAAAGAAAGATTCAAAAAGGAAACACGATGATGTCCATGTTACCCATGCTGATGAGTCTTCTAAGAGTAAAATCTTCAGAAAAGTAATTTGCCATCTAATTAGAATTGTGCAATACCTTCTGCTTGTTTTTCAATATTTCAAATTATGGGGCTAATGTCTTTAATTCTTTCGCTTTCTCCACTTTCTCCAATTGAACTATCTTCATTTTAATTTTCAATAAAATTTTTAATTTTAGGACACAACTGATCAGCCAGCCATTCCAAAGTTGACCCTGAAATTTGGTGGTGCTACAATTGGTGGTTCATCAACTCTTGGTGGTTGCACTAGTAACGCTAGTCGGAGTGGCGGTGAAAGTGAATGTTCAAATAATGAATTTGTGAGGACGCTGCCCTCTTTACAATGTACTGAACCTCTTAAAATGTTAGTTATTGTTGTTTCCATTAATAATTATTTTTCATTTTTCGTACCAGCTCTTCACAAGGTCACCAAAATAAATAATTTATAATATTATAAAACCAAATTAAATAAATTGATTCAATTAAATGACTAAATAAATAATTATGTTAACAACAGAATCATCAAATCTTTCAATAATTCTCCGAGCCTTCCTAAGCCGTACACGAACTCTCCAACTATCCAGCAGCGACCCAGCAGATCCCCTGCTCTCCCCCCAATCCACCCCCCACCAGTCCAACAAATGTTCACTCCCTCCCCAGTCACCGAGTCAAGGAGTCCATCCCCAAATGATCTATCCAGGTTGGCTATAGGAAAAAAGTCATCAAAGTTTGATGTCTACGACAGTGACATTGAGGTTACATCACCAGTTGTTCCGCATCAGCGAAATACGACATCTTGTGAAAGAAATTTTATTTCAAACGTCACTGAAGAGTCTCACAGCAGGTCAAACATCAGGAACTCGCCAATTTATTCAGATTCACCGTCGCCACCTCTACGACCACCACCACCACCAGCACATCCTGCTGCACCTGTGGTGGTTCCTCTGGTGAGCAAGGGGTCAAGCAAAGATAACAAACATGGTACAAGCAAAAAGGCTGGCAGATCTTCTGTGAAAGCTAACCTAACACCAGCTGGTATGTGTGAGTTTACCATTTATTTCTTAGCTCTACCTGGTGTGAGTGTTTGCGTGTTTGTGCGCGTGTGTGTGTGCGCATGTGGATTTGTGTGTGTATGTGTCAGAAGAGAGAGAGAGAGAAAGAGAGAGAGAGAGAGAGAGAGAATATCTGTTCACCATTAGTTGGTAACTATAAAACACTTAGCCTATTAGGTTCTGTTTTGAGAAAATCAAAAGTTATTTCTTAATACAAATTGAACCGTGAACCAAAAATCATAATTAAATTGAACACTTTCTAAACATACCAATATTGAATACATCGTAAACGTGACAGTACTGAAATTAAATATTTTGTCACCATAACACAGTTGGCAAGATAACAAAGCCGAATGGAGAGATTGTGTGGATTTGTCCTACTTGTGGCTTCCCAGACAATGGAACGCCTATGATTGGTTGCGATCGATGTGATGACTGGTATCACTGGTTGGTTTCTTTCTTTCAAGAGTTTCACGTTTTACTCATTCTTTTGTTGCTTCTTTTAACAACCGTTTTAATTACATTTTCTGAAAGCTTCTTAAATTGAAGGAATAAATTACATTTGTCAGGGTTTGTGTAAACATAACAAAAGAGCCTCCAACTGAGATGAACTGGTACTGTGTGAGATGTCTTGCTCAGGATCCAACTCTACATAGCCAGACCAAAAACCTTTCCGTCGCTGTTCTTGAGGTCCCGCCTCCTGCTCCAAGTTCTGCTGGTAGGAGAGGTCGACCTTCAGGGAAGGGAAAGTCCAAAAAACATTAAAAATTTTTAGTCTTTGAAACATTGACAATAAATCACCTGCTAGTTTGTTGATTGCTAGGTGATCCAATTAAGAAAGAAGGTTGTCAGAATATGATGACGAGCTGGCCCGGTCAGATATTCAGTCATGGTGGTGAATTTTTCTGTTACAATATGTGGCAAATGTGTTGAACAAGATTCTAAGATTGCATCATATTTAGTTTAAAACCTTATAATGCATCGTCGTGATTGTTCCATTTAGTCATAAATTGTAACGCTAATGGTTAAACTAACAAAAAATAGTTTATTCTATTTATTGTCTGATAATATTTATTAACTTATTTTTTGAGATATCTTACATAGTTATTTTTATTTTGTACTATAATATTTTGTTATGTTATTTTGTTTAATGTTTTTTTATAATTGAATCTTATTATTAATTGAACTTTGTGAACTCTTGATGAACGACAAAATTAACTGAATTATCAAATAAAATTAATGTAGTCAATAAGTAAACGACTTTATGAAAGCACAAAATGTTTAAGTAGTGTCTTTTGAAAAGTGGATGACAGGCTTAGATTGTTTTTTCCGTTATGTTGGATGTTTTTGAAATGTATTTCTAGCTTGCTCAGTGCAGTAGTCAGTTGGTCGGGAGTAGTTGATAGTAGTCGGTTCTTGTACCGATGAGAAATCGGTGTATGAGCAAGTGCACGTGCATGCATGTACGACTGACCAAGAACGGTGGAATTACATAAACTAACGTAATTGTATTGTGGAACAAACGATTGAAATCACAATAAAAGTTTCAAATGCAAATAGATTTTGCTTGAGGTAATTTGGTATCGCCAGAATATTAAATCTTTCATGCATAAACACGTTTAAACTTTACAGTAAAAAACATTACGTTCAACGAAATGTCCACTATTTTTCTGCTATTTGGTTGGAGATGTATTAAACAAAACTGCAGATTGCCGTGATTAGCATTATGTTGAGTAAGTTCAGGAAATTCACTCAACTTGGATGCACTGAGAATGTTGGTAGGCGCAAAGAAAAACCAAGCATATTAGAATTGCGTTCAGTTTCATTGAAAAATAGAAAAAACAAAAATGCAAATGTTTTGGTGCAATTCCATTAAAATTGTTAAAAAAACAATATTCGGGTATTTAATTGGGTTGAATTGAACGAGTTGAATTGAATTTTTTTTCATTTATTCCAAAAAAGGAATTAATTACCACATTGAATAACAATTTAAAAAATTAAAATTTTAAATAAAAGCAATAATCAGTAATTAATAAATATACGATCGTAACTTTTGACTAGAACGATAAAAAAATCACCCTCCTTGTTCGACCGTTAAAAGTGAGCGTAAGGCCGTTATATTTATTCTAGTTATATGGATCTTACCGTGTAGTGAAATTTTTGTATTTATCGGTTTTAATAGTTGAATAACTTTTATAGTATACGACTATAGGTATGTCTGGTTAATTTTTTCACATTTTATGTAATAAAATTCTGCTTATTAGTTTCTTGTTATGATGCGACGAGCCTGTAGTACTTAGTATATAAAATGAAATGACTTGATTGATAAATAAATGTAAAAAAAAGTGTTAAACTATGCAGACTTACATCCAGCCATCCACATCCGCAAAAACAATTACTCCCCAATCCTAACCCAAAAATTTATGTAATTACTAATAATAACATGCTTAGTTTTAAAAATAACACTTTTAAAAACTCTTATTAAAATTCATTTGTCGTCAAAATTTATTATATATATTGTTGTAAACATTAACGCTCGTTACTACCGACACCAAAGTTATAACTTCAATGATCTCTATTTTCAGCACCAGCATTCTAGCTTCCAACGATCGTCAAGTTATTGCTATTCCGTAAGTTCAAGATTTCCGATAGATGAACACAAATGCTTCAAACGCAAACTTTGTTGAACGTTTAATCGAATGCCAACAGTACCTAATAGAAACATTAAATTAATCCAAATAACTACATAAATCACAATTACAACTTCGCTTCAAACCACGCTGTTGAATTCGCTATTTAACCTTTTTATATAAAAGAGATTCTTAAAATTTTTACAATTAACACTTAAAAATTTAAAAACCCTTATCAATATTCATTTGTCGTCAAAATTTATTATATATATTGTTGTAAACATTTAACGCTCGCTACTACCGACACCAATGTTATAACTTCCATAACACCATGTTGGTTATATGTTATTATTTGCAAGGCATCTAATTAATATCTTTAAGGTGATAACTCCGGTCAGAACGACAAGACAAATGTTTAATTATGTTTCTATCTTATATAAACATAAACATGCTTCTTATGTTTTAATATAAATATATCAAAACTTAACGCAAAGCAAATTTTAAAAGTATTTAATAAAAACTGAAATTTGTAACACTTGGTGGCTTAAAATGTAACACAATCTTGATAATATATAGATATAAAAATACGAACCAAATTTACACTTGACATCACATCAGTTATTAACGTTGCAGAAATATTATCGGAAACTAACTTTACATCTGAAGAAGGCTAAAAATACAAAATGTTTAAATTATGATAGAACCAGATTATTGGTTACAAACTTAAAAAATTAAAATAAGTTTATTTTTTGTATATAATAAATCATAACATAAATAAAGAACAGTTCAGAAAAATTATCCTAACAACAATATCTTATTTTCAAAATTATAACTTTAAAAACATTTAAATTATACAACTGAAACTTAAAATGATTGGTTTTTATTAGGGATGCACCGATTTCAGGTTTTTCAAATCCGGCCGGGGCCGGACTTGGCCGGATTTAAAATTCAAAAACCGGCCGGAGCCGGGGCCGGATTTTAGTTACCATTTTACATAAGTTAGAAAAAATACTCACATTTACGGTTATCTTATGTTTCTATCTTATGTTGAACATGTTATTTAATTCAAATATATGAATAAGTTGTGTGATACGCCAAATTCTGTACACAAAGATCAGCTTATAATTTATGCATATTTGCATAACCCAAGTTAAAGCACAAAGAAAATTGTCCAGCTCACCGCACAATTAGTGATGTTGTAATTATGTGTCATGTATACCTAGCCTAACTTTTCTTAAATTATGTGCTTATGTATCTCTCTCTTTCTATATATATATATATATATATATATATATATATATATATATATATATATATATATATATATATATATGTTGGTAATAGACCATAATTTTTACAATATTCTATAAATTCTACCGAATGTTTGACGTTAATATGTTTGTAGTTCGTTTTTTCGATTTTTCTCACTAAAGTTTTTTGGTGAACGTTTAGTTTATTAAAATTCAAAATAAACTTATTTTTCGAATTCATGCTGCAAATAAGGCCATATTTCGATTCCGAATGAATCATCGTCAGTGCTCCTTGTTGTATATATAGGGAAATTTTGACTTTGTCAAGATTAACTTTGACGTTGTAAAAATTAACTCTGGTGTTGTAAAATTGAGCTTTCATGCGAATTAGGTGTCATATAATGATTCAACATCCAGAGGCAATAAATTTGGATGGTTTATTAATGCTGAGAAGATTAATAAACTCACAGGAAGATTGTAGTGTGTAATTGTTTGGAATATATGGGGTTAAAATTTTGTTCAAGAATTTTGCAACAGGGTAGGTGACAGTTGTAATTGTAATTGGTCGGATGGGATGATTCTTTTTATGCGTTTTTATATTTCCATATAAGTAGCCAGGAGAGTATTCGCCTATAAGTGATGGAAGTTTGTCATCGGTGATGTTGTTTGATCTTATCTTCTTGATTATTGTGTTTAGTTTAGTTTTTAGTTGAGGAGTGGGATCTTTTTTGATTACTTGGAACTTTTTTGTATCATTGAGAACATCATTGAGTTTTTCATGGTAATCGGCTCGGTCGATAATGACATATTGTGCAGATTTATCTGCGCGTCTTATTACGATATCTTTATTCTCCCTAAGTTGCTTCGCCGCATCCTTCATCTCCTCAGTGAGTAGCTTACTTTGAAAACTACCACGTGTTTTCTTGGCTTCAGCTTGAAGCTCAATGGCAACAGAGGGGTTGACGCTTAATTTACTTTGACGTTCAGCGTCGCTTATAGATATCATTAATTTTTCAATCTCAATGATTTTCTCAATTTTGTTAGGTTTTTTCAGATAATGGCAATTCAATCCCAGGTTTAAGAACACTTTTTGTTTGTCTGTAAGGATGTGGTGGCTAAGATTGATGAATCTATCTTTTATAATATTGTTATTTCCTTTAGTTATCAGGTTGGTCAGTTTTTTATGAAGTTTTAGTTTTGATGATTGCATATATGCATTTATAAATTCTTTCCGGCATAAGTTTAGTTCATTCTTGACACCTTCAATGACATCAATGTTTAGTTCATCAATGACACCTAATTCGCATCAAAGTTCAATTTTACAACACCAAAGTTAATTTTTACAACGTCAAAGTTAATCTTGACAAAGTCAAAATTTCCCTATATATACAACAAGGAGCACTGACGATGATTCATTCGGAATCGAAATATGGCCTTATTTGCAGCATGAATTCGAAAAATAAGTTTATTTTGAATTTTAATAAACTAAACGTTCACCAAAAAACTTTAGTGAGAAAAATCGAAAAAACGAACTACAAACATATTAACGCCAAACATTCGGTAGAATTTATAGAATATATATATATATATATATATATATATATATATATATATATTATGTAGCTATATGATCCATCATATGCAATTATCAATATATAGTATATACACGTGCACAAGTTCTTTTACACAAAGATCAGCTTATAATTTATGCATAACCCATGTTATAGCATAAAGAAAATTGTCCAGATTACCTCACAATTGGTGATGTTGTTATGTGTCATGTATGCCTTTAGCTTAGCCTTAGCCTTTAACTTATTGACATAAAATTAATTGAATTCAATAAAATTTTTTTTTCTATTTATAACATTTTTAAAAGTTGATAGACGCTTAAATCCGGCCCTAAATCCGGCCCTAAATCCGGCCACCAAATTCGGCCGGGGCCGGATTCGACCGGATTTGAAAAAAAGCTGGATTTTTGCCGGAGCCGGGGCCGAACTTCGGTGCATCCCTAGTTTTTATATACGTAACACTAAGCCCATATTTGGCTAGCGTCAGTTTAAACTGACACGCATAAAGATAACGATTTTAGAATCAATAAAATTTAAATAGTTTTAATTTTGTTTTAATTTTATTCTACAGATGTCGCCGGTGTTTAAAAACCAATATCAATTTTTTAAATCATTTTATAATCTTTGTTTATGCGTTGATTGTCGGACATTTTTAAAATTTTCGAGATGGATTTTACAAGAAAGAAAACGTGAGTGAAACTATTTTTTTTTAAATACATAATATATTAGAAAAGTCTTCATTAATATCTCCTTAAACTTATGGTTGTTGCTATTTTCTAATAGAATAAGCTATCTTAACGGTGTAGCTGTTTTTGATGTGTCAGTTTAAACTAGGCACAGACGCGTAGGTCATTTATTATATCATAAGTAACTAATTAAGTTGATTTTTTATGGGTCAATATTGTTTTCTATTTTTAAAATTTAGTAAAATTGAACATTTTTTGCTTTGCTAATGTGGTAGTAATAATAATTTTTTTTTAAGTTATAACGTTCAGGAAGTGATTCAGATGCTAGAAGACGACGACGATGAAAATTTGCTTGACATAGATGTCACCATTGTTCCACCTACAAATTTAAATGGTGATACTGATGAAGATTCTGGAAAAGAATGTTCAAATGAAAAAAATTTGAATCATTTAAATTCTAATCAACTTTTCGCAGAGGCATCAGTGCGATTGCATAAAACTTCTGGAGATGTTGTCCTCGGCTTAAATGACAATTTAGATGACTTTATTTTTGAAAGTGGTGAAACTTGTTTACCGTCAACAAGTAGTGATAAGCCAAGAACAATTATTAAAAAATCAAATGAAAAAATTATAACTGGACAAAGACAATCAGAAAGAAAACATTCTATAAAAGTATGTGTAAAATCTCGTTGTTTTTTAAGATGAAAATAATGTTTGTTTTTTTCATTAAAGAAATTGGAAAGTAGCAAAAAGTCAAAGGAAAAAGAAAATTTATTTGAAGTTGAGAGACAAGAACAAGCCACAAAAGTAACAACAGAACCAGATTATCAGCCATCCTGGAAAAAACATGATTTGAAAGAAAGTGTTAGGAAAGTAAAATTTGCATGGAATATTCCTCCACCATCTTTGAATACAAATTCTTCACCTGTTACATTATTTGAACTGTTTTTTACACCCGATTTAATGCGACATATTTGTGATGAATCAAACTTTTATGCTGCTCAAAAAGGTATATTGAACTTTGATTTAGACATTCCAACTCTCAAGCTATTTTTTTCGATCCTGCTGCTCAGTGGGTATGTTTCTCTTTCCCGGCGTTCAATGTAATGGGAAACAGCACATGATACTCACAATGAAATGGTGTCTAGTGCCATGTCACGAAATAGATTCAGTGCCATAATGAGCAATATTCACTTTGCTAACAATAACGACTTAAACCCAGGAGACAAATTTGGAAAAGTGCGTCCATTACTAGACCAAATAAATGCTTCATGTCAGAGAAATTTTCAATTAGAGCAAGTACTTAGCATACACGAAAGTATGGTCCCCTATTTTGGCCGTAATGGGGCTAAACAATATATCCATGGCAAGCCAATAAAATTTGGTTACAAAATGTGGGTTCTGGCCACACGACTTGGATATGTTATTAAATTTGATCCATATCAGGAAGCAGGAACAACAGACAAAAGTCTTGGACTTGGTGGTTCAGTTGTTACAAGTTTGACCAGCGATTTGCCAAAACTTAAAGGCAGTTTTTATCACATTGTTTTTGACAACCTTTTCACATGCCCTAAATTGTTACGTTTACTTGCAAAAAATGGAATGGCTGCTACAGGCACTCTACGTCAAAACTGTGTTGAAGGTGCTCCTTTCAAAAGCATCAACATAATGAAAAAAAAACCTCGTGGCACTTATGATGTTGTCTTGGAAGAAAAGTCTGAAGTATGTCTAGTTCGATGGAACGATAGTAAGGTTATTACTATTGCTTCAACTTATGCTGGAGTTGATCCGCTACAGAAAGTAAAGCGATTTTCAAGTCAACAGAAAAAAAGAATTGAAGTTGACCAGCCCAAAGTTATTCAGATATACAATCATGGAATGGGTGGAGTAGATAGTTTTGACCAAAATGTAGCTTGCTAAATGATACAGCATAGATTAAAAAAGTGGTACTGGCCAATCTTTAGGTTCTGTTTAGATTTGGCAGTTCAAAATGCCTTTCAGTTGTATCGTCTGCAAAAAATAGATACTGGAACTTCTGTTCATGATTTGCTCTCATTTCGACTTGAAATTGTACAAGTGTAAAATTGTATATGCGAAGTTTAAACTGACGGTCATATTTTTGGCTAGAAAAAAAAAGTTTTGCCTCTAGAATTTTTTCAAAATTTTTTATGATGTTTGAATGTGAAAACAAAACAAAATAAGTACACAATTTTATAAAATTCTGTTATGGTTTAATATGGGCTAACCTTGTCAAATATTGTTGGAAAAGCATCTTTTTGAAGAAAAATTTTCAAACCAACTTTATGAAAACTTTCTGGTGTAAAATGTTTGCTACAAATTAAAATCTTTTTTTTTCATCGTAATTGTCAATGTGTTTTTAATGAGGTTTTCCCATTGCATTCTCTTAATATCATTCTTTGGCAGTCTGAATTTAAATTTAATTAATATCAGCATAAATTATTTATACAACTTTGAGTTAACATTACCATTTAATGCATTTATAATGTTACTAATATTATTTATTACTATTATATTAAATTATTATATATAATTGTTTGCTGATTATTATAATTATATTGTATAGTATTATACTTTATAGCTATAGTATTGTTATAATACTCGCCGTCTTAACCGATTTACAATGCGACGGGTTCAAATCTTCGATTGAATAAAATACTCCAAACAGTTATTAGTTATTAAACTTTATTTACAGAAGAAATCAACTAATCGTTTATTTTTAGCAAATTCAAATTAACGCAACAATTAACTTTTAAATTGTTTAAAATCTATCGCTATGACAACGTCAACAAACAAATCAAATATCGCTTTAAATAATTCACCGAATCGCTATTCACGAAATCACAAAATCCCGAATTTCACTAATCCCGAATCTTCTTGCGACGTGCGCTTATATACTCTTCGCAAGCGTCGTTTCTAGATTCTTCTAGATGGTCCGATTCTAGCATACTCTAGTCTAGAATGCTCCAGTCACTAGAACATTCTAGAATACGCTAGAATCTAGTGCGTTCGGTAGCACGGTTATAACAGTATAGTGTATAGTATAGTCTAAATTAAACTAACCTGTGTAAAGTAACATTTTCATCTAAATTAGATGTGTGGCATTTGTAATGGAACACACAGGCATTTTGATTTGGTTGAGAATCTGTGTCTGTCAAATCAAATACTAAGCAAATATTTTATAATTAAAAATGCATTATTGTTTTTAATATTATTTTGACAAGTTAAGAATTAAGATTCTCTAATAGTTTAATCTCAATGTCATGTCATGTGTACTTAACTTCTTATGACTCAAACCTTCTACATATATGTATTATATATATATGTGTGTATGTTAAAACCAAATCATTGACGAATGACACCAAAAGCCAAGCGTCTGACTAAATTTGATTTTATTTGCTATAACGTCACTCAACCGCGTCGGCATTCAACTGCACATTTTCCAACACACAGACGCGCAAAAACCGCTGCAGAATGCACGAAATAATATTTATAGCGAAAAAATACTCCATACTATCGCCTGACCTAATACTAATATGTTTACAAATCTGATTAAAAAACTTGGAAGTGTTACGGTCCATGGGGCCGAGGACCTCGATACAAATCGGTAAAAACTCCATCGAGGAGAGAGCTCCGTCATACTTCTTGATCTTTTCATCAGATACCCTGGTTGCCGCCAAACCGCTTTCTTTGCTAGTAAGCTGCACGTAGCGCTCAGCAAAGGTGCCCGGAACGGTAACGTCCCACGCCAAGCACCTGCCGGCTCTCCAAGGAATCAAGGTACACCCGTCAGGGCGCTTACCATCATGCGCCGTAATGCCCGACGGTTCCTTTAAAACCGGAATTGAAGCTTTGGAGAAAAGCCGGCACACAAAATCGTTTATGGCTAAATGTCGCTGCTGGCGACCTCCGCCCAAACGACAAACAAGACCATGATGGCCGAGTTCATCCGCCTCCGCGCCGCACCTGCATGTGTATCGACTCTGAACGGCCAACCCCAGACAGAAACCAATGGCTGTCCTGACCGTTTCGTCGTCCAATCTGGTACTCACCGACGTATTGAGCAAAGATTTCAGCCAGCCACAACTCGCCTAGCTGGATACTGCCAGCAAGCGAGCCGAGGTCGCCGAGTCAGGGCTTGAGGAAAGCAACTCTTTGAGTGTGCGTTTATATGCTTCCTCCAAAATGTTGCCCTGGGAAAGGTCTGTTGGTTGGAATGGAGTCGGTGGAGTACAGTGTAGGCTACTAAATTGCCGAAGAAGGGCAGACTGTAGGTCAAGCGTGGCAGATGCAGAAGATTTACAAACAATTGGTGCAAGCTGAACCACGCTTAGTAACCCCAGTCCCCCAAATAGTACCGACAGCTGAGCCTGAGACCAACCCTTGTCAGTAATATCGACGTTACAAATGGCTGAGAAGGCCACCCGCAGAGCACCCTCGAATTCGCCCAAAATGGCCGCATTAACAGATTTGGATGTTTGCAAAAAATACATCAATTTCGGCAAACTGAGGGCGCCGCGAATGATTGTCAGCGCGTCGTGGACCGGGAGAAGAGAGACGCGTTCGAGGGCAAACCTTAGCTCAAAAAGTTTTTTATTAAAAAACCTGTCCTGATGATCGCCGGCCATCATTGGAGTGCCAAAAAAATTTAATGATGAATGGGGCACTGTGGGGGACATTAGCCAGCACATGTGGCATTTGAAACGTGTCATTTACGAGTAGTTCACACTTGTTTGTGTTTAATTCGAGACCAATGATATAAGCGCCGACCCTCAGCGACAGAAAGTCGTCCGCTAAGATGTTACCCTCTGCGGCCAAGCTGATATCGTCCAGGTAGCCACAAACAAACGCCGAAGATGACTTCGTCAACAGTGGGTGAAGGGTTAGAGCAAATAGTATCGGTCTCAAAGGATCGCCCTGCTGTACACCCTCGCACGATTCCACCACCCAGGCGTCGTAACCAAGAGAAGAGACTCGGCCATATGCGGAATGACAAAAATTATAAATTTGAGGACAGTGCTGCTTAACTGCCTCTAACATTGAATTTCTTCTCAGGATGTTGAAGGCGTTCTTGAAATCAATCTTCAAAAATCCCCACTGTTTTGAAAGTGCTGAAATCAGTTCACGTACGGCGTGGACGGCCGCCTCAGCACCACCCTTCACGCCGACGCCCAATTGGATAAGATAGAGTTTGGCTTTGACCTGTTCCAACACTAGCGCCAGAGCGCACTTACTGGCCAGCCTCTTCCAGAAATTCCCCACCGCGATGGGTCTGATCCCTCCATCTTTTTTGTTTAAAGCCACCAGACGGCTTCCAAAAAAGAAACGGCTAACCGCAAGAGGGCAGACTCCAGATAACAACAAATTTACAAACCGGGTGAGGTTATTTAACAATTCATCGGTGGGCAACAGACCGGAAAGTAAAATCTTTATGTGCTGAGGCCTCAAGCCATCAAGGCCTCCCGATGAACCATTATTAAACGACTTTAAAGCCGTCAAACGCGACCATTAGACGGCTCCTCTCGGGGAAAGCCCGCCTGTTCAATGGAGTACTGGGATAAATAGCCTTAAGTTTAGCGAGTGTCTCAGGCGAGCTCTCCGCCAGGCCCACGGGCGAACAAGCAAGTCTGACGGCCGCCGAGAGACTGCCCTGTTCGATCCGAGTAGTTACTGCACTAATACAACTGTTTGGATTGTGCTTACGCGGTTTGGTGTTGTGGTCAGTGTTGAAGCTTGTCACAATAATCTCGACCTCGGTCGAACTGAATTCGGCCAATCGTTTAATAACGTATCTGGCTTGATTGATACTTCTTATGTATGTATATATGTATGTATGGATGTATGTATGTATGTATGTATGTATGTATGTATGTATGTATGTATGTATGTATGTATGTATGTATGTATGTGCGAGCCCTTGGTTAAAAACAATAGCCATAAAAACTATCATTTCGCCCCTGCTCAACAGATAATATTAGTGTACAGGGTCTCGCACAGAAGGGCACTTAGCAATGTTCTCTAAAATACAAAATGAATTAAACTTTTGTAACAACAACGATATATTTTGCTTTATATAAATTTTATCATTGAGATCACCAGATTTTTCAACTATTTTAGTAGCAATGTTATCAAAAAATAATTGTGTCTGTTTAGCCACTGGGCCAAATGTCTCCACACAGATTGGAACAAAAACTCTCGTATTGTCGTTTAAATCTTTATACTTAGTATTTTTGAAATCAGCAGCCTTCACCGCGGCGGAACCTTGCTCCATAGCCGTGTAATTGATGTACCTTTCGGCTAACGTGTGAGGGAACGTCACATCCCATGATAAACAACAGCCTTGGGACCACGGTACCAGGGTGTAACCATCTGGCCTGAAGTTGCTTTCAGATAGTAGGCCTGCTGGTTCCTTAACGGCTGGTATATCTGCTTTCTGGAATAATTTGCATATATAATCATTCATGGCAGAGTGTCTTGCTTGTCTTCCTGAACCAAGCCTACACGATAAACAATGGTGACCCAACTGAGAAACATCCGCCCCACACAAGCATCTGTAACCTGACACCACCGGCAGCCCAAGTCTCAAGCATAAACTCACTCTAATAGAACCATTGTCGAGCCTTGTACCACAAGCTGTACTGGGAATGGCCCTTAGCCAAGCAGACCCCAATTCACTTCTGACGGCCATCGACCTGGCCTTATCTGAGGGAGAGTCATTTAATTCCTCCAGTTTCGATTTTGAAACATTCAAAGATGGTTCATTCCATTTCTTCTGCGAACACACATTTATGTCCATTATATCTCCGTAAACCGTGCACCAACACCGAAATGTTTCAAGTCTCAAATCATCCTGGTATGCTACATCCATTGGTAAGATTTTATCCAGGAGGGCTGCCGTGGCCGCGGCCGATGACAAAAATGCTGACGGTGCCAACTCGGCCACGACACCCAAACCCAGTCCACCCATATTTACCGGCAATATAGCCTGCTTCCAACCTTTATCATCAAAAAACACATTAAATATCTTCTGAAAACCCATGCGTAGTTCGTTAGTTCGTTGTTGAATTCATCTGACTTTTGTTGAGACGGGCCAGGAGATGTACGTAAAAAGTATGACAGCCTTGGAATGAATGCTGCCTGCGTCAACAGGACAAGGGCGTCATGCTTGCCAATCTCCGTCATCATTGACATAATATGTTTAAAATCCTCCAGCTTTTTAGCCCAAAAATTATCATGGCGTTTTCCTCTACAAACTATCGAACCCAAAAATTCTAGGTCATTCATTTCAATTCTTTTAATATTTGATTGGGCGAGAGATAAAGCTGTTGAATTTGTAGTGATTTCGCATTTTTTTAAATTCAACTTGAGACCATATTTACGACCATTACTGTTGATCAATTCCACATCATCCATTAGGTCCTTTACACATCCCCCCAACGCAATATCGTCCAAGTATGCGACAACAAATTTAGATCGAAATGCCTTTACCAGTGGGTCGATCGACAGCGAAAAGAGCAACGGTCCCAAAGGATCCCCTTGTTGCACACCTTCTGATGAAAAAATGATGCTGTTACCAAGTGACAGGAATGAATCAGCATCGTACGCCAACCAGCAAAAATTGAAAATTTCTGGGAGCCGAGATTTGACACATTGAAGCATATGGTCACGACAAATCGAATTGAAAGCATTTGAAAAATCAAGTTTTAGAAAGCCTTCATCTTCCTTCATATTATTGACGAATCGCCTGACAGCGTGTATCGTTCCTTCTGCTCCACCGCTAATTCCGACACCGACCTGCTGAGGCTGGAGAATTGGACCCACCCTGTCCTTGATGACCAATAGCGCACATTTTGCAGCCCAGCGTCTCCATACACATCCAATGGCAATAGGTCTGACACCACCATCCTTCTTTGACAAGGCCACCAATCTCCCGCCAAACAAGTATGGAACTACCTCGGGTGGACAAACGCCACTCAACAGCAGATTGTTAAAACCGGTCATGACACTGATAAGTTCTGCTGTTTCTATTTTATCATGCGTTAAATCCCTTAAATGCTGTGGGGTTAGGCCATCTCTACCTCCTGAGGTTCCTTTTGGAAACTGCCTCAAGCACAACATAATTTGTTGGAGATTAACTGTAACGCTTGTCGATTCTTTGTTGGGACTTGGTTTTCTGTCCAACGGAGCGGGAGGATGTTTGTCCTTTAGGGAGTTGATAGTGTCTGTCGAATCCGGAGCCATCGTATCCGTCGATGCTAAAATCCTCATAGCATTTCTCACGTTTCCTTGTTCTATTTTGCATTTGACTAAAGCACTAAGCTTTGATTTACGAACCCTTTCATCTTGCCCCTTTACAATTGGTTCGACAGATTTCATCAACTCTTCCAATGAGCCCTCTCCAAAAGCATCTAATCTGCTATTAATTTTTGCGCTGATGTTTTTTTTTCCTCCACTTCGAAGATCCTTTCGGAGAATCAAGCGGGGAATGAATAGCAACCTGAACCAGAGAATGGCATTTGATGGGTTATCACAGATGTTTTTCAAAATATCCTTCAACATCCGGCCAAACTTACCACGTGATTGCTTGGGCACATGGTCAACTAACCGACAGCCCGATGATTTTTCAAAAAATTTTTCAGCCAGTGACGATTTACTCTTCATATCGACAGCGGTATCAAGGACCCTTGAGTCTTCACTCGTCTTTGAGATGTTGGCGTTGACGACATTGAGCGACCTTCGTTTTCTGCTCGAAGGTGGGTGCTTCAAAGATCCCGGACATTCTGAGCCTTTCACTTTTCCGCCATGTCTAACGAGAGTACCATCCTGCCTCACTTTAAAATGTTTATAACACACATGGCACAGAGTGAGGGAAGTCGTGCTTGGTACATGTCCTTGACTCAACATTAAGAAACCAGCAACGCAAACTGTTATTATTATTGTAAACTGTACATAAGGCTTATAACATAAAATTATTATAATTATTATTATTGTAATAAAAAATTGTAGAAAGACAACTTTAAAACCAAGCACCTGTGTGCCGCTTAAATTATATTACTTAAATATAACTATATAACTTAAAATTAAAACCGGATATATAACTTAAGATTAAATACGAACATTTAATTAAAATTAAAATAAATGTGGATATATAATTTTAAATACGAATTTATTCGAATTTATAACATAAAATCTAAATCTGCCAACCTGTGCGGAGACCAATACACAATACACAATGTATGTATGTATGTATGTATGTATGTATGTATGTATGTATGTATGTATGTATGTATGTATGTATGTATGTATGTATGTATGTATGTATGTATGTATGTATGTATGTATGTATGTATGTATGTATGTATGTATGTATGTATGTATGTATGTATGTAGGAATGTAAAATGTATAAAACGAAATGTATAAATGCAGAAAATTATACTAATCCCTTTTCTTTTTTAAATGTACTAAATATTGTATATAATATATAAAATGCAATACGAAATCGAATTTAAAACAGCAAACGAGACAAAAACTTCGCAAGCGATAATTTCAGATCAGACGATTAATCAATGGCGCTGACGAAGACAACGACGATGCTTGATCTATAGAACAAAAAACAATTTTTGTTATAAATTAATTTTTATGCCATATCCATTATATCCATGGTTATAACTTATAAAAATGTGAAAAAATTAACCAGACATACCTATAGTCGTATACTAAAGAAGTCAAAAGTTATTCAACTATTAAAACCGATAAATACAAAAATTTCACTACACGGTAAGATCGTTTTATCATCGTTTAGACATAAATACATTACAAATACAGCCAAGATAACGAAGATAACAATTTTCAAGATAATAATTAATTGAAAGCAATCATATAGCAAAATTCAATCCTCCCCGCGGTTATAACATTATCTTCACTTTAACATGTTAGTTTCTAACATAGGCGTTACTTCCTTATTTCGATAAATAAGGATAATAATAATGATAATAATGTCATTTATGAGCGCCCTATGCATAGCGTCAGAGGCGCCTGGATAAACAAATGTCAGCACGGCCACCAAAGGCCTGTTCAAACAAATAATAATAATAATGTCATTTTATATAGCGTCATGGCAAGCGACTGAGGCGCGTTATCATTATTACAATAAAGACACGATGCATAAATGCGCGTGAATCAACGCATCACACACTTTTGCATGTAAAAGGCGGGGATCTTTTTTTAGCATTCGAACTTGGACACTGCATCAACAATGCCAGGCACCTTAGCCATTACACCATCGCGCCGCTACTGCTTCAATCGCTTTTTAAACGTTTCTATTGATGATTGTTGACGGATGATAATCAATTCAAATAAACAAGCTTTATCTTTGCTCAATGTCTTTAATGATCATAGGTCCCGTAAATCACGTCATTTTTCTTGTTAATGAGCTTGTATTGATCTTTCCAATTTTGTGGGAGTTTTGCCTGGCATCTCTTTTTTCTGCGCCGTAGATTGTACAACCAGACTTGACTTTTGCTCTTAAAACCTGCGTTATTTCTTTCCTGGTCACGCCACGTTTCTTTTGATTTGGTTCTTCTAACCATCAGCAGAAGTCGTAGTCCTTTCTTGATTTTGTTGGCACTTGAAGTGCTTTCTTTCTAATGAGTTTACCAAATGTATGATGGCAAGTCGGATAACTGATGCATATCGTAATATTCGTTGTTCACATCTTTCCTGGTGATCAAACAATAACAATATGATGGAACAATAAAGAATTCTTCTTTATCAGTAATGAAGCCGTCGTTGATGTCATCCAGGTAGGCAAGGATCAAATTTTCATTCCAAGAGCATGCTAGAAGGGTTTTCTCTAAACTTGAAACATCATCTGTCACCAATTTGTTTTCGGTATGAATATTTGCATCAGCATAAGAATCATCTTCACTGTCATCGTTGATCTTTAGATTAATGCTCTCCCAATTATTCAAATTATCAAAAGTTGACTTGATGGTGAATATTGCATTGAAATCGTTGTTGTTATTATTGTTACTCCTGTCGTTGTTATCAATGAAAACAGGCGAGTTGTTGGCAGGAATATCCAAATGGTAGTCCCACTGCTTGTCAAAAGTTTCAATGTCTTTGTCACTGCAAATTTCTCCAATATTTTCAAAACCTTCATCGTCGTCATCATCTTTTTTTTTCATCTTTTTCATCATCTTTTTTTTTTCTTTCAAAATAAAAAAAAATGGAAATGAAAACAGGCAAGTTGCTGGTAGAAAGATCCGAGTAGTAATCCTACTGCATATCAAAAGTGTCAATATCTTTGCCACTGACAACTTTTTCAATATTTTCAAAACTTTCATTTTCATCTTCTTCATCATCTTCACGATTACCATAACTACCTTTTTGAACGTTAGAACGTGCGTCGCAAATATTAATTCACGATTAACACCTGTACCACAATTGAAATCATCCGTAGGAAGGATTGACTTGCAATTGCTAATGTAATTGTAGGTAGTTGAATAAGCTGATATCAGGATTTTTATAGCTGTTTCTTCTGTTTCGGTTAAATACGTCCAGTTAGCTGTTTAATTTTGTTTCGGTGTTTTCGAGTGACACTTAATCGCGATTTATTTCATGAGGCGCTGTTTTTCCATTGGCTGTTAGTAATTCGGCTATCATTGATCAAGTTTTCTACTTATTTTTTTATAATTCGACTGTCTGTTTATCAATATTTCTATTCTTTTTGGCAAGCTTTTGTTCCCTAGGATCCGGAAAATCAAACTCATCTGGATCGATTTTTTTATTAGAGCGTCCCATAGGCAGTTTATCAAAACTGCTTTTGCTCTTTTCGAGCCGAGGTTTTGTTGTCGTAGTTCCTTCCTCAGATTAGCTGCATCGAGTTCTTCTAATGCTGGATTTCTTTATCAAAGGAAGTTTCAAGCTATCAATATCAAAAATATTACTTTTGGCACCAATTTTTCAAACTTTGACGCTTGTTACTACCGACATTAATGTTGTAAATTCAATGATTTCTATTTTCAACACCAGTCGTATAGCTTCCAACGATGGTCAAGCTTATCGTTATTCCGTAAGTTCAAGATTTTCGATAGATTACATTTTCACACAAAAATAAAAAATAATTTTTTTGATGATACGCCCGATCATTGAAATATTCGCCCAATGACACTTTCGCCCTATAATTGAAAATAATACTTTGAATGGTGTTCGATCATTGGAATGGTTTTGTATTAATAATTTTCTCAGGTTGATGTTGTTGAAGGCTTACGTTCGTTTACAGCCACACACACACACACACACACACACACACACACACACACACACACACACAACACACACGATATAATGTTTTATAACAATCTGTCAGTTATTAATTAGTTCCAGCTTTTGGTGTGTTAATCGGCCATTAGTTCAAAGTAATTAAGATATTAACATCACTTGGATGGGTTTATGAACTATGAACAAGGTATATGTTCGAGGTATTTCTGACTTAGACATGAATGTCTCGACAGGACATGGATGGCTCCAGTGGCGGATCTAGACAACTTTGACGGGGGGGGGGGCCAAAATTTTAAAAATGTTTAAAAGTTTTTTTTCAAATTTGGACAGGGGGCCAAGATTTGTGGTAGCGTTGCCAAAATTAGGCTGGCGACCTTTTTTGATATAAAGTGGTGTTTTTATGCAAAAGCTAAGCTCTTTTAATAAATATACGGCTCACAACTGGGTGATACATAATACATATACATTCAGTGGCGGATCTTCAGTACTGTATTTTAAAAGCGCTCTGAAATTCCCCTGATTGTTACAGATTTTCAGATTTGAGATCTAATGTACCGTCATCCCGGTGTCCACGCAAAGCGAAATTCTGTCTTTAACAAAGTTTTATAGTTTCAATAATAGTGTTAAGCAATTTTCTGTTTTGCTCTATTTTTTGTGGAAAGAGCGGAGTTTGATAACTCTAAAACATTAGTTTTATTTTTAATCAAACTCAAAAACATTTCTGATTTTTCTGTAGCCTCTCTATGAAAAGATGTCGCTTGATGACAGCGACATTGATCTAAAGCTGATTTATAACGATTTAAAGGTGATATAACAAATACTCCGACTGAGCCACATGATGGATGTCGATTAGCATAAAGTACACAAAACTTACAGAATGCTCCTTTTTCAAATCAGAATAAGACAGCCAGAAAAATTCTTGAAACCAATGGAATTTAAAAAACCGTTTTCTTTTACCATCCAACACAAATGAAAATTTATAATTCTCGTCAGGTTTCCATGGATTTTTCAAAAGATCATATCTTAAATTATTCGAAATGCTTGAGATTTCTGCAGTTGCATATTGTCCAATATCTAAAGGTATTGTTTTCTTTGAAAAACTCTGACATGAATTACCAGTTTTGTCTGAAACATCAGTCATGTCATCGTTTAAATTTAATGAAAGGCCTTCTTCCAAGACATCAGATTTTATATTGGAAAAAAAAACGTTGAGATTAAATTTTTAAATTTTCATACCAGACCTAAATAGTTAAATACTAAAAACTTAATTCAAGTCTAGTCGGGTAATGACTGGTACGCATTAACCCTAACCCAAAAAATGTTTTTATTATTCAGCTTATTGCTAATTTTTTTAGTTAAAAATACAAAATTATTTCATATGCAATTATTGAAATATCTAGGTATTACCATTAACGGCCTCAACTGTATTGAGATCATCGCACTGCTTCTGTTTCTTTGCCGGAGCTGGTTGAAAAAAGTTTAAAATACTACTTTTTTTAAAAGATATTTTTTTAAATTTTAAACGAATTCAAATGCAAACTGATTTTATGAAACACAAAAAAATAATATAAGACGCGCCAAATCGTAAATGGAATAAACTGCGAACAAAACATAAAATTATGAAAAGTCTAAATAAGTAAAGACTGTAATCTTTTTTGATTTACTTTTTGTTGATATTAGTTTTCAATAAAAAAATATACTAAGAAAACATGAATTATTTTTATTTTGTGCCGCAAAACATTATTTAAGTATAAAATATGAATTATGTTCTGAAATAAACTTGTATCAAATTTATATAATAAATCAGCGTTATTTTTTATTGTTAAAAAGATTCGATCTCAAATTTTTTTTTTATTATTCAACGCTGTCTTGAATTAAACTGATGATAACGGGGAAATGCCTCCCCCCTAAATCCGCCACTGTATGGCTCACTACACAACATCACACTAATTTAAGCTAGCAAGCAAAGCATGCTAAGTTGTTCCACCTGGTTGTAATCAAGTTGTTCATTTACGTTTGTTTTGCTATGCGAGAACATCGGTTATTGTCGAATTAAATAATTAATTAGTTAAGATGTTTGTTAAAACAATTTTGATTATATTAATTAAATTTTATTCCAATTCTGAACTAAAACATAACCCCGACGTGATCGAAGAAACATGCAACGAGGTCCAATGCGGATCGTTCTTCAACAGAACAAAACAGGATAGATCCTGGGGGCTATATAATAAGGAAGAACTGCAATACTATTCCGATAAGTATTCGGGCTGCTGGTGAGTAGAACTCCTGCGCACTACTTTTCCTGGTTTGGTGTTTTCATACATTAGCGCAACAAATTGGAGACTCCGACGTGATCCAACAATTCGACCTCATTCATCACGTTCGCCAACACATAGGCGACGATCTGGTGGAGGAGTATTGTCGGATCGCAAATATTTAAAGTAATTATTTTCAATTCTTCATTTAAATAGTCAAAGTCTTTATAACAAGATGACTGAGCTATGTGCTTTGGTTAACAATTGTAGATATTGCTTTTCCATGACCTGTGTGACTGAGACTTGGTTGAATGACTGCACCATGGATATATATAATGGATATGGCAAATCTCATATGTATATATATATATATATATATATATATATATATATATTCATACATCGGCGCCCGGAGCCCGTGTTAAAAAGATGAGTCTTTAATCCCTTTTTGAAAAGACTCAACGAGGAACATTGTCTTAACTCTAGAGGCAACGCATTCTAGACATACGGAGCAGCGTGACAAAAACCGCGGCCAGCCAGGCGGGATCCGGCAACGGGAATGTTTAAGAAACCTGTTGAGCTGCTGCAGAGTGATCTAGTATGTTCATGTCTGGATATGAGGTCGTATAGATATGTTGGGGATTTTAATAAAAGGGTTTTGAAGATAAGAACTGCAATTTTGAAGATGATTCAAACGGAAATAGGAAGCCAATGAAGCATTGGAAAGAGAATGGAAGAACTAAAACGAGGTTTATTAAATATAAGTCTAGCAGTTTTATTTTGGATATTCTGTAGTTTTCTGACAGATGCACGTGAGGCCCCATACAATAAGGAGTTGCAGTAGTCTAATCTAGAAAGGATAAAACATCTGCAAAGGGCAGCAGCAACATCACATGTAATCATATGTCTAATATGTCTTATTGCGCAGAGGTGATAGTTGCAGAATCTGACGATTTCTGATATGTGTTTATTAAAATTTAGATGTGTCCAAAGTGACCCCAAGCAACTTGATTGAATCCGAGATAGGCAATGTGGACCTTGCTGTTTCTCGACAGTTGTTGATGTGTCCCAATGACCATAATTTCAGATTTGTTGGGGTTGAGAAGAAGAAAATTATTAGCATACCACAGATAAATCTCGCTAGTACAATTGCTTAAGACTTGAATGCTGCTTTCAAGATCACCAGAAGTGACAGATGTATACAGATGAGTGTCATCGGCGTAGTGATGAAAAAATAATCCATTTTTACTAAAAATGTCGCTGACAGGAGATACTTAGGTAGTGAACAAGATTGGACCAAGGACGGAACTCTAAGGGGCTCCAGTGTCGATCGAGCAGGTAGAGGAAGTATGGTTTCCCAGCTTCACAAACTGCTGTCTGCAGCTCAGGTAAGATCTAATCAGTGATAGTGCATGACCATCTACCCCAAATTTTTGTTGTAGGCGTTCGAGAAGAACCGAGTGACTGATGGTATCAAAGGCTGCGGACAAGTCGAGCCCAACTGCAATGATTACTTTTCGGTTGCCAGCCTCATTAAAAATATCATCAGCAATGTATAGCAATGCAGTCTCAGTAGAATGATGAAAACGATAAGCAGATTAAAGATTTGGATAATTATGATTGGACATTAGGTGGGCACGTAGTCTTAGCAATATGACGCGCTTAAGTAGCTTTGAGAATGTTGATAAGTTTGATATAGGGCGGTAATTTGACGGGTCATCAGGATCTAAGGATGATTTTTTCAGTATTGGTAAAACCTGAGCAGTTTTATAAAGTGAAGGAAAGCAACCCGTGTTAGTCAACTTGACCAGAATAGGTGCTAAGATCGACGAGAATTGCTTTAGCATTGAGGTTGGAATAGGATCAATGGGTGATGTTTTGTTTGGTAGAGAGGCAATGAGTTTAGTCATCTCATCACAATCAGTATTAGCAAATTGAAGAAAGATGTCGCCTTTATATGGACAAGCAGGAAAAGTGACAGAGGTGGATTTAGAGATAGCGGTGGATATTGAAAGATGTATTTTTTTTATTTTTTCCTGAAAAAATGTGCTGAAGGAATTAACCAGCCTTCTGCAATCTGTATCATTTTAGCAATGGACAGGGTGGCTGTGAAGAACTTTGTTAGCCAAGCGCCACAGGAAACGAGGGTTTGAATTTAATTTACCGAATTCAGAGCTTATGCAGTCCGCTCTAGATTTGAGAATGGCGTTTTTAGCTGCATTTTTTGAAACCCTGTAAGCATGTTTTACCGCGTGACGAGGATCCAGCCGCACTTTTCTTTCTAGGCGTCTACACTCTCACTTTGACTGACGTGCCTCATCAGAAAGAGTGAAGATATGTTTTTGGCCACGCCTGATGGTAATAGTTTTTAGTGGAGCGTGTCGATTCAGCAAACTGTGCAAATTCCGATCAAGGGCTGAAGCCAGCATATCAAGATCCAGTGAAGCAGAGAGCAAAGAATCGACAACAGCCATTAAGTCAGATTGAAATCTGTTTAGGTTAATGCAATGTATAGACCTATATGTACGAGTTTCAACTAGGGGCGGGATACTGAATGTACATATGTCCACAAGAATGATTTTATGGTCAGAATAGGTGACATCTGATGATCTCTCATCTTTTATGCTGTCGGAAAACGAAGTCGAGGTGATGATCAGATCAAGAGTATTACCACACCGGTGTGTTGGAAAGCTTACGTGTTGAGATAAGTTATTTTTTTCCAGAAGGGAAGAGAGACGTTCGCTACCAGGACAGTTGAAATCGCCGCAAATTATAAAGGAAGATGAAGATAAATGTACGTAATTTATCAAAGTCTCCAGTTTCTCAAAAAACGAATCAACAGCCGGACCAGGAGGGCGATAAAGAACGGCGAGAATAATAGCCGACTCAGGGCACACGAGCTTGGTGACAAGCAGCTTGAACGTTGTGAAAATACCAAAATCTAGCGCTGAATGTCGAAATGTCGCCCGGTACACAACAGAGAGGCCACCACCACGCCGATCAGGCCTATGATAATGTGCCACAGAAAAACCAGGTGGGGCCAGCCTCACTGCATTGGATGCGTCAGATGAGATCCAAGTCTCCGTGAGTGCCAGTATGTCAATTCCATTGTCGACAATGGTGTCATGAAGAGCCGCTTTATTGACAACCGAACGAGCATTCAGAAGACCCAGAATTGTTTTTGTAGAATTTTTATGAGATCCATCTACTGCAGACAACGAGTGCTTAAGCCTGATACGACCCTTCCGAGGCCTCCAGATCCTCAACCGGAACAAAATTTTTCTAGCGGGTCTAGGGATAGGTCGCGAGATGGCTGCAGGCGCCAGTGAAAGCAGCTGCGCGGTTGTGTATGCAAATGTCATCTACAAAAAGAAAATGAAGGATATATATGCAATTGTGTGATTGATGTTAAGATACAATTGTTGTTTGATTGATGTTTATGCTGATTGTCGAAAGCTGTGAGGTAACTGATGATGGTAGCGAGGAAATCGTCGACGATTGTTGTTTGATTGACGTTTATGCTGATTGTCAAAAGCCGTGACGGAGCTGACGATGGCAGCGAGGAGATTGACGACAATTGTTGTTTGATTGACGTTTGTGCTGGGATTCCCAGCACAAACGTCAATCAGGTATGTGGTACCTGCCGTGAAACTCGAAATGACCAAGAATATCACACCAATCAAGTTGGGGAATGAGAGCACCTTGACGTTCTACAACCCTGATAGCCTCCAGATACCATGTCAAGAGAGGTGTGGACGATCTGATAGGCGTGATGGTGTTGATGCAGCCAAACGTCGTGTCAGTGAAAATGATGATAAGTGTAATGATGAAAGCATTGTTAGATCACATGAGGTTAACAAAGCTGGTACACATACAGTTCACAACAATAATAGTAATAACAATAAAAGTAATGTTGGACGATATGAAGTAGCTCACAACAGTAGCAACGACCACAGCAACGCTAGTGGTAAATTGAGATCTAACAACAGTGGTAGTGAAAGCACTTCCCACAATGACAACGACAGCAATAGCAGCGACGACAATATTGGCAGTAAAGGTACTCACAACAATAATGGTGATAATACGAAAATCAATGTTAGATTGGAAGTAGCTTACAATAACTACGATATTAATAATGGTAAAATAGATGGCAGCAGTATGTTAGATAAGGTTGGGAATGAACTAGTTACTGAAAATAATAATTGTAAAATAGATGGCGGTGGTATTGTAGATATAGTTGATGATCATGAGGTTGATGAGGAGAAAGATGATGAAGTCAGTGGAATTAATAATTGTAATTTGGATGCCAGCAGTGGTGATGGTGATGAGGATCACGACGTTGATGGTGAGGAGGATGAGAAGATGGAAGGTAATGTTGGTAATGTTGATCAGGCAGATGATGCAGGTAACGTTGGTCAGTCGGATGAAGCAGATAAGGTAGATGATGTTGGAGATGTGGTTCGGTCAGGGGAAGCAAGGGTTGGTAGCGATGGTGGTCGATTGGTCGATGATGAAGAGGCGGATGTTCATGATAATGATGGTAGTCAGGAAGATGCGACGATGAAGAATAATAAATGTAATGTTAGAGATGAAGATGACGAAGAGAGTGTGGAAGGTGGCTGTACGCTGGAAAAGGCAAAATTCCTTCAAGAACAACGTAAATGTCAGACGCTCAAAAAATGTTGGGAGTGGGCGAAGATGAAAAAAAAGAATTTTTTCATCGAAGATGACATTTTATACTTTATGGGTTATAAAGTGAAACAGTTGTGTTTGCCAGCAACCAGGCTTCAAATAGTGATGGAAATGGGACATGATAAACCGTTTGCTGGATACATAGCTGCTAAGTCTACAAGACAAAGGACAGCCATTAGCTTTTGGTTTCCGGAAATGTGTGAAAAGATACGAAGATATTGTCACTCTTGTAAAATATGTCAACTGAGAAACCCGGTCAGGATAACAGAAAGAACTCCCATAACTCCCATTTCCAGGAAGGAGGAGGTACCGTTTTCCCATCTGGTAATGTATTGTATTGGGCCGATGATATCAACGGAAAGCGGACCCAAACCAAGATATAATTACGCCTTAGTTGTGGTGGATCTCTTCACTAGATGGCCCATGGCATACCCGATGAGGCACATTACTGCCAAAGCGACATGTGAGGTGCTGTTGCAGATATTTATGACTTACTCTATACCAAGGGTCATCAGTTCCGATCGGGGTACTAACTTCACAAGTGGTATAACGCAGGCATTGCTTCAAAATTTGGGATGTAGTCCTCGATTCAATACACCGGGACATCCGGAAGCGGCAGGAGTGGTGGAACGATGTAACTAGTCGTTAAAGGGTATGATCCAGAAGTTGGCGCAAGATCATCCTCGGAGTTGGCATCGTATGTTACCATTTGTTTTGTGGGCTCTTCGAGAGAAACCTTCAGCGACCACTCATGTTAGCACGTTCACCATGTTGTATGGAACGTTGCCTAGGGGTCCTTTAATGATTTTAAAAGAATCATGGGTGGGAGAACGCTGCTTGCCACTAAACCTAGGAAAACAACCTGATGTATACCTGAAAGAGTTACGACACAACTTGGAGGTCGCGCATGGTTACGCGGAGGATCATGCTGACAAGGAACAGCAACGGTACGCCCATCACTATAACTTACGTAGTACAAGTCGAAGATTTCAGTTGGGGGACATGGTCATAGTTCTAGTTCCCTCGATGTGGAGGAACAAATGGTGTAACAAATGGCAAGGGCCTGATACCATTGTGAGAGTAAAATCCCCACATTCATACATAGTTGAATTAGAAGGACAAAAACACCATGTCCATGTGAATCATATACGGAAGTATAACCAACGGATCGAGGAAGTTGCTCTGAATAATTGTGTCATTCTAAGGAATGATGAAGAGGACTTCGGTCATCTACATTCATATGAGCCGGAGAGCACACAAGAGGTGAACATGGTACAAAGACAGATAGAGAGCATGACTCATTTATCAGATGTACAAAAGAAACAAGTGATGGAGATAGTGAAAATCCATGCGAAGATATTCCAACCTCGGGTGGGATTATATTCAACCGTACAGCATAGTATCAATGAAAAGTTTCGACCGCAACGGTTGCGTGCATACAAAATACCAGAATTACTTAAACCGGAAGTTGAGAAACAATTAAAGATGATGTTGGAGCAGGGTATCATTATTCCGTCAAAAAGTGCAATGGTCAGTCCCATTGTTTGCATCATAAAGAAAAATGGCACTGTCCGGTTGGCCGTTGACTACCAATATGTGAATAGACATTCTGAGGGAGATGGTTTTCCTACACCTGATGTTCAGGATGTACTTCAGAAAGTGAGTCGAGCCCGATATATAAGTGGCTTCGATGCTAAAAGTGGTTATTGGCAGATACCCATGGAGGAGGAATCAAGATGGCTGACCGTCTTTGTTTGCGATTTTGGATTATTTGAGTTTACCCGTATGCCTTTCGGTTTGAAGTCGGCCAGTATCACATTTACAAGAGCCATGAAGAAACTAACGAGACATGTGCAAGGATTCACAGAGGCCTACATAGACGACGTAGCCGTATACTCCAACAATTGGGAGAAACATGTCATGCATTTAAGACGTTTTTTTTGAGGCGGTGGTGGAGCAGTCTGGCCTAACGTTTGATATAGAAAAATGTCGTTTTGCACAGGCCAGGATACCATTTTTGGGACACTTGGTGGGATCGGGTACCATTGATATGGATCCACTAAAGTTGCAGAAAATACATCAAATCCGACCCCCAACCACGAAGAAGGAAGTACGAAAATTGATAGGATTTCTGAATTACTTCCACAATTTCATCCCACATCTAGCCAGAACTTTGGATAACATAACGGAATTGACGAAAGGGAGAGGTAATGGGAATGTAACGTGGACACAAGAGCATCAACGTAGTTTGGATACAGTAATTCATCAGCTGAAGAATGTTGGAGGTTTACATACCATCGATTACACCCAACCGTTTGGTTTAATCACTGACGCTAGTGACCACACGGTGGCATGTTGCTTGGTGCAAATTGATAGTCTTGAAAAAGAACGCCCCATTGCGTTCGCTAGCAAAAAACTGTCGGATACACAGCGTCGGTGGGCTACCATTGAAAAGGAGGCATATGCCATCTTGTGAGCATTACAGAAGTTCAGAGGATGGATCTGTATGTCGACAATCCATGTATACACAGACCATAATCCTTTAACGTATCTAACGGATGTAGTTCCTAAGAGTTCAAAGTTAATGAGTTGGGGGTTAGCCATGCAAGAGTTTGACATACACATCAAATACCGCGCGGGAAACAAGAACGCCGCTGACTTTCTCACCAGGCTGGCGGAAAAGCCGGATAAGGATGGAGAAGTAACAGACACACACAGAAGTGAATATTCTACCCCGTAGAATATTCAACTGTTGGGGAGGAGGTATGTCACGGTTCAAGGGTAGATGTTAAGCGCCGCATCATTTAATTATATTATTGCTGCGGGGTAGGACGGCGCGTCGTGTAAATAAAGACCGGTCTCGTCAAACAGAAAGAAAGTTTATTTTTATTGTAGAAAATTAGTTGGTAGAGTTGGTTAATTTCATTGTAGAAAATTAGTTGGTAGAGTTGGTTAATTTCATTGTAGAAAATTAGTTGGTAGAGTTGGCGTTTTTGTTGGTGAGAAATTGGACACGCAAACGTGGTTGGTGAAGTAGCTGTTGGTTGTTAAGTTATTATTGGGAGAAGTTTCATTTGTTGGTACGTGGGTGGTAGTTGGTCAGTGGTTAGACGGGAGAGCTGGAAATACGGTACGGGATTGTTACGAGCTCAACGACGACAAACATAAGGTAGCGAACGAAGTAGTTATCTGTTGGGTTAGAGGGTGGCGAACGAAGTAGTTGCCTTTTAACGTAACAACAACGTTTGTCGGTTGGGTAAAGCATAGGTGGTACAATATTGGTACAGAAGACGGCTGGAACCGAAGGAGTTAACCCCACATAACACCAGTGTTCGAAGGATCCTACATTGTTGTCAAGTGAAGAAGTTGAAACAGTATCCGCTCGTACGTGGTCACAGCACTGGCAGGAACAAGTCTGCACACTAACCTCGAACTTTAACTTTTATTTTGGTTTTCTTTATTGACATTGTATATTTATTTGGTATAGTTTTCAGTTTACAGAATAAAATTTTTTTTGATTTGTGTCTACGTCTCAACCTTGCCGCTAAGAACCCGCTACAACTATGCAAAACGTCAAGTTGCACTGGCTCGGACAGATTAGTGCAGAGAGTGGCTCACTAAAAAAAGGTGAACAAATGAAATCCCTGTATCATATAGCAAAACAAGCAAAGCGTACGAAAAAGACATAGTTGGTGCTTCATGTATCAAAAATGACAAAAAGGAGATGGTTCTTGAACAAGATGAGATCAAGCTACAGTGGAGAGAATATTAACGTCGTGCATCACAATCAGAAATTATCAATTTGTTCCCTAGCGAGGAAATCAACAATTGATGCAGTTCACATCCTTCGGCAACTGCAAGAGAAGTACCTCGCAAAGCATCAACAACTATCACACATTTTTGTAGACCTTGAAAAAGCATTTGATCGAGTTTTCCGTGAAGCAATCAGGTAGAGTCTACGTCGACAACTTATTCCAGAATATCTTGTTCGACTTGTGATGGAAATGTATACGAATACTAGGACTCTCGTCAGCACAACGGTTGAAAACACAGATGCATTTGACATCGGCGTTGGAGTTCACGAAGGCTCGATTCTCAGTTCACTGTTATTTATAACTGTGAAGGAAGAAACCACAAAACCGATACGCACTTGTGACTTTTGGAATCTAATATATGCTGATGATATCGTTTTAACAGCCACGTCTAAGCAGAATGCAGCACAGATGTTTGAAGATTGGAACACCAGACTCGCCGATTCAAAGTCAACATCAGCAAAACGAAAGCAATGAACACTGGTGAACCCATACAATCCACAGCTACTGAACGATGGCCCTGTTCAGTTTGTAAAGCTGATGTAGGTAACAATTCAATCAAGTGTCAGCAGTGTAACCAGTGGTGTCACAAACGTTGTTCAAAAATAATTGGTACTTTATCTAAAGTGTTTAATTTTGTTTCTCCTGCTTGCATCAATCTACAACAACAAATTCGAAATAGCAATGTTTTTGAAGCCATTAAGGTAGAGAAAGTCACATCGTTTCAATATCTAGGGAATGTTCTGGATTGTAGTGGAATAGCTGAAACTGCCGTTCGAGCACGCATACGTGCAGCCTGGAATAAATGGCATCTCCTTGCCTCTATATTGATGCGGCGTGACATCCCACTACCCCTACGATCAAGACTTTATAAATCTGTGATACGTCCGGTGTTGTTATATGGTGCAGAAACATGGCCAGTGACAACCAAACTGGAACAATAACTTCAACGAACCAACATGAAAATGCTCCGATGGATGCAACGAATTAGTCTGAAGGACCACATCAAATCCACCGAAATCCTGCGTCGTGCTGGTTTAGATGATGTAAAGGACGAATGCCGGCAACACCGTCTGCGGTGGTTTGGTCATGTCAAACGAAGTGGAAACAGTGCCATAACTTCTCTTGCAGATGTTGAAAGTATCTGGCACACGTCCCAAAGGCCGTCCAAAAAAGTCCTGGTCTCAAACAATCGAGCAAGACATGAAAGCTCTAAATTTAAATGAAATGGATACAACTGATCGTCTAATTTGGCGCAAAAAGTTGATGGCAAAGAAAACAACGTCCTGCCTCTGGGGACCGGGACTCTGGACGCAAAACGAAGATTGATTGCCTTATTTAACATATTGTATTCTTATTTGGGGTTTTCCCACTAAATCTAATCTCCATCTTCTTAATGTATGTCAGAATTATTATTTACGAATTTTTTTTTGTCTTAATAAATATGCTCTGTCAATCAGTAATACTGTATAAACAATATCTTAAAAGTAAATCAGTTACACATTTTGTACACATTTTTATTCATTTATAAATTGTATAAATTAAATTATTGTCTGTCTCTTTATGATCAAATATGTAGACCATGTGTTCGACAGTTTTAAGATATAGACCCGATTTTTATTTACCCACACCACGTTTAGATCTTTTTTCAAATTCGGTTATTTTTCAGTTTCTATTTGTCTCTGGGATTTATTACCCGTGTATATTAAGAATTCTGCATCTATTGGTAGATTTAAAAATCTCATTTATGGTTTGTTATTATCTGACCACTTTTCTAGGTTTCGTTAGGTTTTTGGTTCTGGTTGACTGAATGCTCATACATTGTGGTGTTTCTTTATTGAATATGTGTATGTGTGTATGCTTGTGTACGTATATGTTCATATGTGCGATGTTTATATGTTTTAAGTAATATAAATTCAGTCCAATACGAGTGTGCGTTACGATATACCAGTTTTTTGATAAAAGTCCAGAAGATACTAAATATATAAAGATACAAATGTCACATCTCCCCTTTTAAAAGTTCAATTTTATTGTTTTTATTTAATACACATATCTAATTAAGAGCATAGTCCTTGAATCTAACAGGGAGTTTTGATGAACGACTACTCCGTGTCCTCAGAATGGATTCTTGGGAAGACTGTGTAGTGTCATCTGTTGCACTGAGGGTGAATTGGGGATTCCAACCTTTGTGGTTGTGTTACCTCTAATGGTGGAAAATGATTTGTGCTATCATCTACTGGTGCTGCGCATATAGGTGGATCTTCTTTGGTGTAGATGAGATCTCTTTGGTTCCGTCTTAAAGTTGAACCATCCTCTGTGTCAACAATATATGATCTAGGAGCTTGATGTTTAAAACGAACAATTCCACGTTTCCATGTTTCATTGTGATTCATACTTACTACATCTCCTTCGTTCAAACTTTGAAGAGGTTTCGATTTACGATCATAATACTTTATTTGTTGTTGCTGTCTGTAAACTAGATTATCTCTTTCATCTACGACTATTGGATGTAAGTTCTGACTTGTTGTGGGAAGCTTGGTTCTTAAGGAACGACTCATTAACAGCTGCGCTGGACTAAAATCAAGACCTGATAATGGAGCATTTCTGTACTGTAAAAGTGCAATATCAATCAACCTTCGTTTTGCGTCCAGGGACCCGGTTTCCCGAGGTACGACGTTGTTTTCTTTGCCATCAACTTTTTGCGCCAAATTAGACGATCAGTTGTATCAATTTCATTTAAATTTAGAGCTTTCATGTTTTGCTCGATTGTTTGCGACAAGGACTTCTTTGGACGGCCTTTGGGACGTGTGCCAGGTACTTCAACATCTGCTAGAGAAGTTATGACACTGTTTCCACTTTGACATGACCAAACCACCGCAGACGGTGTTGCCGGAATTCGTCCTTTATATCATCTAAACCAGCACGACGCAGGATTTCGGTAGATTTGATGTGGTCCTTCAGACTAATTCGTTGCATCCATCGGAGCATTTTCATGTCGGTTCGTTGAAGTTGTTGTTCCAGTTTGGTTGTCATTGGCCATGTTGTTCCAGTTTGGTTGTCATTGGCCATGTTTCTGCACCATATAACAACACCAAACGTATCACAGATTTATAAAGTCTTGATCGTAGAGGTAGTGGGATGTCACGCCGCATCAATATAGAGGCAAGGAGATGCCATTTATTCCAGGCTGCACGTATGCGTGCTCGAACGGCAGCTTTAGATGTTCCAGTACAATCCAGAACACTCCTTAGATATTGAAACGATGTGACTTTCTCTATTTTAATGGCTTCAAAAACAGTTCTATTTCGAATTTGTTGTTGTGGATTGGTGCAAGCAGGACAAACAAAATTGGACACTTTAGATAAAGTACCAATTATTTTTGAACAACGTTTGTGACACCACTGGTTACATTGCTGACATGTTCTGTTTCATCATTTGCTGCAATGATTAGGTCATCAAATACTATGAGAACACCATCAATGTCTCCAAAAATTTCAAAACTTCTCTTCTGAAACACTTCAGGAGCTGATGATATTCCAAATGAAAGTCTACGAAATGAGAATCTTCCAAAGGGTGTATTAAAGGTGCAGAGACGAGTATTTTCAGTGTCTAATTTGATCTGCTAAAAACCATCTTTCATGTCGACAATGGTGAAAAATTTTTTCCATGAAGTTTTGGCATTATATCTTCACAAGTTGGTATTAAAAAAAGTTCTTTTTTATTGCCTTGTTGAGATTTATTTGAGATTTGTTGAGATCGAGGCATAATCTTAATGATCCATCTTTCTTTTCGACAATAAGCAAGCTGTTTACCCAATTTGTTGGCTCATCTTTCTTTTCCATTATTTCATTTTTTAACAAACTATCTAATTTCTGCTTGAGTTTTGGCTGTAACGCTAGTGGTACTCGTCTTGGCGGATGTATCACTGGTTGTACTGATGGGTATACTGTAATGTGATGCTCTCTATGGAGACAACCAAGTCCTTTGAACACATCAAAAAATTCATCAAGTATCTGTGCTGATGTTCTTTTTTTAACACTGGTTTTTATGGTATCAACTCTGTGTAGGAAATTTAGTTTGCTGCATGATGGCAGTCCTATCAGTGTTGTAGCATTGCTATTAATGATATAAAATTCTAGAAACGTTTTCTTGCCCTTAATTATTGTTTCAACAACTGATGATCCCAGAGGCTGAAGTTTTCCACTGGCATAAGGTTTAAGAACTGTGTTGGTCTTTGTTAGCTTTGGTCTTTTAGGAAGTTGTTCAAAAACTGTTTTTGGGATGACGTTGACTTCAGCACCTGTGTCTAATTTCTATCTGACTTTCATGCCATTTACATATAGTTCTTTCCACAAACAATTTTCTTGATTCGCAGTGCAACTATGTATGGCTAATTCACCAATGACGAAGTTGTTTATATCTTCCTCAACTGCATGAATTGATGATCTAGATGATGGCGATGCTGAACGTGAATGATTGTCTGTAAATTTTTTAAAACTTTTATTTCTTCCTTTGTTTGACAAGTTGGGGACTTTACACATCTTACCAAAATGGTTTTTTAAACATCTGTAACATTGTTTTCCAAATGCTGGGCATTGTTTCATAGGATGAATTGTGCCGCATCTTCCACAGCCATGTTTGTTCATTTTGTCATTATTTTGGTCTTTCTTCTTGCCAGACCTCACAGAGTTTATTGTTGCTGGTAACTCGTTACTTTTTATGGTTTTTAATTGTTCTCGAGTAACCTCAGCAGCTCTGCATAACTGAAGTGCCTTTGTGAGAGACAATTCCGGTTCTCTCAACAATCTTTCCTGAAGACGTGCATCTGCTCCACAACCCAAAACTACTCTGTCACAAATCAATGACTCCTTCTGTTATCCAAATTCACATGATTTGGCTCGAAGACGTAGCGTGGTTACAAATGAATCTACTGGCTCATTTGTGGCTTGTGAGGTTTTCCAAAACTGGTACCTTTCAAAAACAACGTTTTTACGTGGTGAGCAATACTCTTCAAATTTCGCTCTTACTGCAATTATTCTATCTATTTTATCTGGCGGGTCAAAAGTGAATGTTGAAAATGTGAAGTACTTCATCCACAATCCAACTCAGAAACATCGCAACTTGTACCTTTTCTTGAAGCTGGTCCGATCGAGAAGCAAGAAGAAATAGATAAAATCTCTGTATCCATACTTTCCAGCTCTCCTTCAGACTTTAACATTGCCTTGATCGAACTTCAAAGCCGGAGGCGGTTGAAAACCTTTAAAAACGTCAGTCATTATTTTATTGATAAAACTTATACTACCGTTTAAACATTTATTTTTACTATATTTAAACAATTGTCGACTGCGCCATGTGATGTTTTATATGTTTTATTTAATATAAATTCAGTTCAATACGAGTGTGCGATACGATATCCCAGTTTTTTTATAAACGTCCAAAAGATACTAAATATATAAAGATACAAATGTCACAATATGTATTTATTTCTTGTTATATAAATGTTGTTCAAATTATGAGGGCATAACAATTTATTTTTATTTAAGTTTGTTTAATTATTTATTATTTCAGTGTTTCTAATCATTTAATTTTCACGGTTGAATGTGTTTTGAATTATTTTTTGTTTTGTTTGTACAGAACTATGTTTTCTTTTTTCTGTTGTTCTTTTTTCCCTTTATTGTGAACTGTAAAATAACTTCTTATATTTTTTTGTTCAATTTTGGGTGGCCCAACAAGTCATTTTTCGGGTCTCCTAGCTTTGCTGAACAAACATATCATTGAATTGAATTGAAATTTGCAACCATGACTTTAGCATGTTTTCAGGTATTTTGAATTGGGTTTGATTGGAGTGGTTAACGGTTTTGATTATTATGTCAATAGAATCTTTGATGGGAACATTGGTAAATAATGATTCTACGTTAAGTGAAGCAATATGGTTGGATAGCTGATTTGTGTTCAACAAATTATGAATTCTTTGGAAGATTGTTAAAAGATCTATTTCTCTTATTGCATATATATATATATATATATATATATATATATATATATATATATATATTGCATATATATATATATAATATATATTATATATATATATATGTTGTAAATATATATATATATTATTAATTTTAAATTAGATAATAATTATAAAATTATTATTAACCGCAACCATGGTCTTCTAAATAATATACTACTGGTCGAGAAACCAAATGTGATTTTGTGTGTGCTCGACCCAAACTGAGGCCATGCTTGTTTGATAAATAAATGCTACTCGCTATATAAGTTGCTGTTGTTTACTTTTGAACGTTTTGATTTCGTTTATCATCGCTTGTATTGTGTTGTTGATTTTGCTTTTTATTTTGCTGATTTATTTAAAAGTATTAAAATTATTAAAATTATTTTATTTTAAATAATTAAATTCAAAATAATTAATAAATGTTGTGTTTATGGCTGTAAATCTGGGTATACGTCAGAAAATCGTTCGGAGTCTGAGATTACGGAAAAACAGAAAATCACGTTTCATAAATTTCCAATTGATAACGAAGAATTAGCAAGAAAGTGGTTGAAAAATATCGCGAGAAAAGATTTTCATCCTTCGCAACATACCAGGGTTTTTTCTAAGCATTTTACTCCAGATGATTTCATCACATCATCTCAGGACAGCAAAATCGCTCGTCAACGCCAAAACAACAAGGATACGTTTTTGATAAGACATAAACCCGATTCGGTTCCAACTATTTTTTCTAATCATTCAAAACATATGTTGTGTGAAAAAACTACATCAAGATCAGGTAATGCGTTTTGAAGCAGTAGGAATAATAAAGAAATGGAAAGACTCGGAGAGTTGGAAAGAAATTTTGTTGAAGAAATTTCAATCGTAGGTCTGAATCTTGAAGATATTAAAAGATATTAAAATGAAATTAAAGAAAGAAATAACTTTTTCTACTGAATTTACATGGTATTACTAATAGTAAAAGTTGATGATTTAGCTATTAGTTGTTCAATATTAGTGACACCTGAGTTTTATTTGTGAATACAACACACCTGTTAAGCAATAGTGCAGTGCTCAAAATATTTATTAGAAAATAAACGTTTTAATTATATGTTACTAGGCAAGTTACAGTCAGACTTTGGAATCTTGGTTTGGATGGTATCGACAGCTATCAGGAGCAAATTACTACATATCTATGAAACAAGTGATCGACAACCACAATAAAATATGTGGAATTTCATTATTTAAAAATAGTAATTTTTATTTTAATGATATCAAACTGGCTTTTTCTTCATCAAAAAATTCAGACTATTCAAAAATGGCAGATGATATTGTTGACCAATTCAAATATCTTTACGAGCCTGAAAAAACAACACTTGATTCTATTTATGTTGTTGCTGGATATATTGCTAGATCTAATTTTCATAAAAATAAATGTGCACAATGTCTGGAAAATTTGGCAATAAATTCATATTTTGAAATCGAATTGGATGATGATTCCAAAACAACATATTTCGATCTAATAAATCGTGGGGGACTAAAAAGATCATTATCATGTAATTTCTATTTTTCTTTGATATGCTGGAAAGCATTTGAAGAATTAAAAAACAATGATATTTTACTACACAAATTTTTCTCTGTTTCAAACCAGCAACAATTATTTGGTGATATTGTAAATAGATTTAATGACAATAATGACTTGGAGTTCAGATTTTTGCACCACAGGGCATGATCTCAAACAATTAATTTCAAATGTATTTTTTAACATTGTTGCAAATAATTTAATTAAATCAATTACAGAAAATGCAAATGAAAAAAAGACTATGAATTATAAGAAAGAAAACTTTGTAAATTACAGAACATTTTAATTTATTTTTATAAATATATTTTTTTGCAATAAATAATGTTTTTATTTTTTTAATAAATGTTTAAAATATTTATCGTTTTAACATTTTAATCGTTTGTTCAAAGTAATCAAATGTTTAAGTGTTGCAGAATTAAAGACGTTTCGTCGTTTACTTTATGTGTGTAGTATAGAGTGCATGGCCTCAGTTTCGGCATGTGTAAATTTCAGTTTCTCGTCTAGTATCTGTTATTTAGGAATATTGCATATATGTATATATATATATATATATATATATATATATATATATATATATATATATATATATATATAGTATTTTTGCCCATATTGTGTTTATCAACTTTTTTATAATACATTCAACAAGTCGTAATTGGTTCAATTCATATTTATTCAATAAATGCCATAATCAGGCTTACGTTTTTTCGGCGTGGGTGCCATCTTCAGAGCCTAAAATAGTGTTTTGTGTTATAGGGAAGGGGAGATATCATATAATACGAAATATCATTAAAATTAATATAGATTAGAATAAAATAAAATTAATAAAATTAATTTTATTATGTTCCATATTAATTTTATTTTATATTAATTTCATTTTAATTTTAATAATATCTCGTATTCAATGAAATCCCTTCCCTTTAACACAAAATACTATTTTAAGCTTTGAAGACAAAGATATATATAAAGATGAAGATGGCACCCACGTCGAAACAACGTTGTAAGCCTGATTATGACACATTTATTGAATAAATATGAATTGAACCAAGGAGAGGCCTATTTACCAACATACAACACTTTCTTATGGGTTGAAGCAGGGATATGCAAAGAACCTCAATTTTTTCTACTTTTAATTATTTTTGGTAATGTCGATTTTATTTTTTTTAAATTTATACAAAATAAAAGTAATTAATTATCACATTAAATACCAATTTTAAAAAATGACTTAAAAATTGTTGTTAATGGTATTAATCGAAGCTTTTTTACTTTTCGTTTTTGTTCTGTTAATTTTTCTGACAATAAATTTTTTCAATCAATGTTTAAATTTTTATATTGTCATTTATTTTTCCGTTTTTATATCTGTACTACTAGTATAAGCTGCTAATTAATAATGCTTAAATGAACTATATATAACATAAGATTGAAGATTATGTATTCGTTCTTTGACTCCTGTCACAAAACTTTTATTTCTTCACTGGTGTTTATTTTTAAGTGTCCCCGAAGTTTTAATTTCATTAGCACTGTGTGATGATGTTTTAGCGATTTTATGTTTAACCCACCAATTTTGTGAGGCAACGACAAAACTTCAGCAACACAATTACTTACGGGAAGAGACAACCAATCTCTTACAGCTTCGCGTATCAACAGGTCTAGGCTATTTCCTATCCAAATTAGCGAAATATCATACAATCGCAATTGAAATGATAATTGAGACGGAATGAAGCGACGTAGGATTTGAAGTTTCCATTGAGCTGTTGTATTTAGGTCGCTGATTACTTGCAGCATATCTGTTAGTTTCTTTTGGAATAGAAGGTTGAAACAGAGGTTAAAAAGAATAGGTGAACTGGGGTCACCCTGCAGCACTCCACATTTCACAAAGATTGGTGGAGTTAACTGCTCGCGTACTGATTTGTTTTTGAATAGTCAGCAAAAATAGAATCAATTAAGTTGCATTTCTGGTCCGGGTGAGATGAGATCGTGACTAACCTTACCAAATGCATTTCTGAGATCTAGAAGGGTGACGATGATCGTTCGCTGATGTTTCTTCGCATCTTTCATCAGGTGGGTAAGTAGATGAGTGTGTTCTATCACTCCGTCCAATTTTGGATAGAAACCTTTTTGTATTGCGGTGTCGATGAAGCTGTTGTTTTCCAGATATTTGTGTATTAGGTTGTTGATGCATATAGGTAGAGAAGATCTTGTAGAGAACCGGTTGTAGCGTTATCGGTCTAAAGTTAGCTGAGTCATTGGGGTCACCTTTTTTATAGATTAAAATGATGAAGCCCTTTCTCCAACAGGATGAAATCGTAGCAGACCTCCAGCATTCGACTATTAATTGGTGAAGGATTGTGCGCAGCATAGGGCATTTTTTTGAAGACAATTATTGAAATTTGATCAAGTGGACAGGGGATGCTTAAAGTTTGCATTTTCTAATATTATTTTATAATAATAATAATAACAATAATAATAACAATAATAATGAGAACAGTTTTTTATTCAGCAATAAAAACAATTAAAATGACAGTACAAATAAAATAAAATGATGAAATAAAATGTCAAATGCAATAGATAGAGTATTTATCTGAGAAGCTCATCATTCGAATCGAGAAAGTACGACCAGTTAATTAGTTTTAAAATTGATTCATTTCTCATTTCTGTCGCTATAGATAGCGTACGACGATAATATGGCAGAGTTTATAAGGTTATTGAAAAATAATCAGTCCAATTAATATTTATTTGTGAAAGATTGAATGTTTTAAAGAGACCTAAAGTAGATGTTTCGAATGCATTTATTATTATTTTTAAATGTTTTAAGTCGTCGTTTAAGTTATTTTTCAAGCTATTAGTTAGAGTATTTAGATTGTTTGTAGTCTTTAGAGTTGATGAAGTTAGTCTCATGGCAGACTCTCAACTCCAGGATTTCCAATGTTTCACCGCGTAGCAATGTCTTGAATAAGCGTGATGGTGGTTGAAAATCGCCTGTCTCAAGAGCAGTAAAAATGGAGACGTCTGGGTTGGCGCATGATTTTAACTTGTCGAGGATTATTGCTAAAATTTTGTTGTGTCTTGTTTTGTATCTACTCAATACCGATGCTGAGCTGCATTTGGATAATACATGTTTATTGGTTTGCTTATTTTTGCATAACGAGCATTGGGCAGTGGAGGACTTTCCCCATCTGGACAGGTTGGCATTTGTCGGCAGCTGTTGAATTAAACCTTTCCGGATAAATCTGAACAGAACCTTTGGAAGGCTCATAATGTAACGTGACCAGTGAGCAATTCTAGCCGCAGGAATCTCATTGCTGATTGCTTTGACTATGACAACGGAGTGAGGTCAGTCGTGCAAATTCTGCACTTTGTTGTCGAAGCATTGTCGCATTGAGCGTCGGTTTGATATCGCTCGAATCAAGGAGTTAGCTGTCAATCGCAATATAGTTGTTAAACAATTCGGGCCATAAACATTTCAGTTCATCATTGCCATGTGCTTTTGAATAATTGCGTAATTTGATCCGCAAAGATTTGGCATAGTGTTTGTGAAACCTATTGTTCAAGTCTCCCATTTTGTAGGGGAGGAGCAGGCATTCCGCCACACTACTGCTGATTGGCAGCAATAGCCATGATTTCACCGACTCAACAGTGAGTTGCTTATCCAAGTCAAGGAAATGTTGTATGCCCGCAACTCAAATGCCAATTGCGACAGTACATATCTGCAAAGTATTTGTGTTTTCCAGTTTGCCATAGTGTCGAGATTGTTTATCACTGACCACAAATTTTTCAGCTTTCCAACCAACTGTTCTCAGACTTGCTGTTCTAAGCCTTGCTGTTGTTGCCTTCAAAATTGTAGACCCTGCCAAGATAAACAAAGTGTCCATCTATGTCGACCTGAAAAATTGGTTTTTCATCGATGGTCAGCATCGGAAGAAATTGCTCGTAGGAACCGTTTTTTTCCTCATGCCGAATGTTGAACATTTGTCGATTCTTAGTTTCATGTCGGTTGCATTGTACCAAGCCCGGTTTACATCGATAAGTTTCTGTGCACTTTTAGTATTGTTGGCAATGATTGCCGTGTCGTCTGCAAACTGTAACCATGCTCTTGTTCTAAGACTTGCTGTCGGGCCCCATATGTAACCACACTGTTGAAATTCGGTTTCTTTGAGTTTTTTCTTTAGGGAGTTGAAGCATAGATTAAAGAGCAATAGAGAGACGGGAAGCACACCTCGTTTGACCGGGATAAATGGAGTCAACTGATCGCAACTGGAAACTGTAATTGTGTAGTTGGCGTATACAAATTCAATTAAGTTTATGATTTGAAGTGAGATGTGATGGTAATGCATGATTGATGAAATTAGGCCATGACTGACTTCACCAAAGGCACAATTCAGAAGTGTGACAAGCATTGTTCTCTGGTGCCTTTTTGCATCGTTAATCATGTGAGAAAAGAGCTGGGTGTGTTCGGTCAGGCCATCTACTTTTGGGTAGAATCCTTTTTGTATATTTTTGTTAATCATGTGGTTTGACTCGAGAAAATTGTATAGTCTATTGTTGACGAGTGAACAAAATAATTTGTATAGCGTTAGTTGAAGTTGGCCGGGTCACGAGCATCTCCTTTTTTAAAAATTATTATTGTGAATCCTTTTTCCAGCATAAAGGGAATGTGGAGGATACCCAGCATTGCGTTAGTAGTTGATGTAGAATGGTGCGTAGGATTGGGCATTTTTTGAAAGAGATAACTGAGATCTGGTCAAGCGGGCAAGGTGACGATTTTCTTTTATATTTGCGGACTATTGATGAAATCTCTTGGTACGAAGGAAGACTAGGGTGTAGCTGGCGATTGCAGTTTTGGAATCCATTTAGGAAGATGATACTTTTTGTGATGATTGGCGTCGTTTAAAATGTTTATGAAGTATTTATGGCATTCGTCTATGTCGAATAGTGGTCTTAGATTTTTCGTTGTCAAATATTTTTTTGCAAAACCACCAGAATCGCTGTCTAAGCTGAGTTGCTATGTCTGATTTTTTCTCAGCACGTTTGGACATCTTTAACGACTGCCGCTTTGAACGAATGGCTTTACTAGTGTTGGTGATTTGACTGTCAAAGTTTTGGTTGTTGTTGCCAAGTATTTTTAGATGTTTCAATTTATTTTTTAGCTCTTTGATGCTTTTGTTTGGGATGTTATTCTGGTCAGTATGAGTTTGGTGCCATAATTTTGAGCAAAATAGTCGTATATCATTTTTTGAAATGTGATTGTGAATTTGTCGATGTTGTTGAGACTTGGTAGAAGCCTGCGTTGTAGCTGGAAGAAAGCGTTGGCTTCGAACCATTGGCGTTCTCGGTAATTTGACGCCAGGGATAGCTGATTCCGTTGCTACAACCGCTTGCGCTGACGACGATGACGAAGATGGGTCGTGGTTTGGAGTTGAAGTTAATTCTTCTTATGGCGATGCTAGTGTGCTATCCATGTTGTTATCCGTTGAGTTTTGTGGTAGTCGAAGCGATTTGGGCATTTTGCACGAACGTTGGTGCTTAGACCCTTACGGCCCTTGCACATTTTACCACAACAACATGATATTAAATTATTATTATTCAAATTAATAGAATGATTGTCAACAGAATTTGCGTTATAAATGTTTGACGAAATATTAACGTTAGAATTTACACTTGTGCGAACACATTAGTATCGAAATATCTAGCATTCTTAGTACAGCGCCAAGAGTGTCTGCCTACGTTTATGAATATTTTATCACAATGCGGACATTTATTTGAATTTGTACTATAAATTCCGTTAAATAAAAAAATTAAAATTAAATAAAAAGCATAATAAAATCTAAATATTAGAACTCTCTACATCATCTGCAGAATTGTTCCTTTTCAAACAACCAATTTTAAAACTAATTGAACAATTAAAAAACTAGTATTATGTATAAAAACAGTGAGCTGTACGAAAACGGCCAACTCTCATAAATCTCAGTACATACATAAATTAAAATAATAATAATAATAATATTGTCACCAAAATCAACAACAACCATAACGGCAATGACAATAACAACGAGAACAACAACAACGGTAATACATTAACAACAACAACGATAACAGTTACCGTAATTACATTAACAGCAGCAGCAACAACAACAACGGTAATGACATTAGCAGCAAAAACAACAATTGTTGTGACAATAACAACAACGGTAATGCCCTTAACAGCAACAGTAACATCAGAACAAAAATAATAACAATAACACCATTATACTATACTATCGAAATTTCATGTCTTCATCCAACAAAACCAATATTGGTTAATTTGTTGGATGCTGCTACCATGAATCTCGTTCTCTTGGTTGGCAGCATAATATAGAGAAAATTTGACAATTTGTTTACATTAGTCCAGCTGAAAGACAACTGGATTATAAATTGAGACGGGAACAAAACAGATTGAATGCTGAACTCGGTGCAGACTCGTTCTTTTGTGAAAATCATGTGCAAAGATTCAGAAAACATCGTTGATTTAGATTCAACTCATGAATCTCACGTTTTCTAAACAGACACAAAGTTTTGTTTAGCGTGATTGCGGCACGTTTTTTCGGTGGTTTTTTTTGGGTTAGGGTTAGGGTTTGCTTCTGAACAAATGAGTTCTCTTCTTTTTTATAATAATTATTTTTTTCTTTATCTTTTTCTATATTTTGTAAATATTAGTATGTCTTATTCTAGAGACTTTCTCTTAAGCTTATCTAATACTCCTTTGTCTCTGACGAGAGTAGTTCTGAGGCGAATTTTTTACTTTAATCTAAGGGATAAATAATTAGTGCAATAAATCTAGCTTTAATACGACTAACAAAAAAAATAAATATAGTTATTAACAATAAAAATGCCAATAGCAAGCATAATAAATTTAATAAATCCTACACTAATGTAATTAATACTAATGATAAGAATAATAATTCTATTAATTAAAATAATAAAACTAGATTGAAAAGTAACAATATTCAACCTACTTCTACATTTTCACTATTTAATATTAACGTAAGATCTATTAATAAAAAATCACTTTATATTCAGCAAATAATCTCTTCCTCCTTACCTGATTTTTTTAGCCTTAGTGAAACTTGACACGAGGACTCTAATTCCTTTATTTTTGCTACTCTCTATGGTTACAGCTTTCATGAACTCTTTAGATCTCAAAAAGATCCTCTCTCATCTTCTTATTTTTCTTACGAGGGTGTCTGTCTGATGCTGGTCTGTCTGATGCTGATTCTAAATGATGCTGGTCTTCTCTCAATAATGATATTTTTCTTCAATCTCTTACTGAAACTGTTTTTAATACTTCATTATTTTCTGATGTTGATGATTTTGTCTTTGCTTTTAATATCTACATTACTTCTATTCTTGATAAGATTATTCATCTTAAATCTTTTACTTATAATCTCTATTCTCATAAGGCTCCTTGGTTAGACTAGGCTTGTGTATTAGCTAAGAAAAGTGTTAGAAGACTGGAAAAAGCTTATAGGTTAAACCCATCTAACCTTCTTTACTTTATTTATTAAATCTTAATATATACTACTCTCTAAAAACTCTACTTTTATTACAAATTACATAATATCTGCTTCAACATATAAAAATAGATGGTCTGTTTTATTTAAACTTCTTCATAAGAAATTCTCTCACTCATCTTTTTCTGCTCAACAGTTTCATTACTTTTTTGTAAATGAAATTAATTCTTTAAGAACATCTTATTCTAATTTTTTTCTCATAACTTTACTAAACTTACTACTGAATCTTTTTTGTATTTACTCCTATAAATCTTCTAAACTTAATAAAATTATTAATTCTATGTCATCTGTTCTCTAGATCTGCTTCTTTCTAATTTACTCAAAAAATTTTTTTCAATATTTTTTCCTATCATTCTCAAATTAGTTAATTTATCTCTTTCCACCTCTAAATTTCCTACTTCTTATAAAAGTTTTATTGTTATTCCTATTCTTAAAAACTCATCTTTAGATCCTTCCTTGTTATCTAATTATAGACCTGCTACTAATATTACTTTCATCTCTAAAATAATAGAAAAAGTAGTTTATAATCAATTATCATTTTATTGATAATTGATAATTGCTACCTGTATCTCAATCTGGTTTCAGACCTGCTCACAGTGCTGAAACTTCTTTACTCAAAATACATAATGATATCCTTCTCTCTAGTGACAATGGTAATCTTACTCTTCTTGCTCTTGATTTTCTCTCTGCTTTTGACGTTGTTGATCATACTATTCTCTTGAGGCTGCTAGATCATTCTTTTAATATTACTGATTCTTGTCTGTCTTGGTTTTCTTCTTATCTCTGTAATCTTTTTTTTCTATATTCTCAATGATTCTACTTCTAACTCCACTACTCTTACTTTCGCGGTACCTCAAGGTTCTATCCTTGATTTTTTTTCTGCATACGCACTACAGACAGGCGAGCGAATCAGAAGAGATGAAAAATTACTTCTGGGCTGCATTCTCTGACACCACCTCAACAATACCAAAACCTGAAACAATCCTGATTGGAGGTGATCTCAATGGCCACGTTAGAGAGAAAACAGATGGTTTTGACAACGTACATGGCGGTTTTGGCTATGGAGAACGGAATGAAGATGGCAACCGCATCCTTGAGTTTGCTGAAAGTCACGGGTTTTGTTTATTGAACACTTATTTTAGAAAGAGGTTGGAACATCTCATAACATACAAAAGTGGACTATCAGCCACGCAAATTGATTTCTTCGCTGTCAAGCAACAACACCGAAGGTTGATTGATTGATCAAGGTTTTATCCTTGGCCCCTTCTATTTATATCCATGCTTCTGAACTACCTCGTATTATTAATAATTTTTCTTTCACTAGTCAACTTTATGCTGATGATTATTATATTTATACTTCTTTTCCTCCATCTAATCTCAATAGTGTTTTCAAAATCTATCTCTATGTCTTTCTTCAATTATCGCTAGGTTTGATCCTATGTGTCTTTAACTTAATCCTTTTAAATGTGAATTAATTTGTTTTAATAAATCTAAACACTCTCTTCATCTACGGAGATTAAAAAATCTTTTGCCTTTTTTTGAAGATCTTACTCTTCTCCTTTTTGTTACTTTGTTAGTCTTATCTAGGATTGATTATTATAACCCGCTCTACTATGGTATTTCTTGATTCTTCACTCTATCCTTGAAGTATAGCTTTTAACTCTGCTGCTTGTCTAGTCGCTCGTGCCCCTTTCTTTTCTCATATATTTTCATATCTTGTTCTCTTGCATTGGCTACCTATAAAATATAGAATATTTTTTAAAATGTGCACATTTATGAATAAGTCTCAATCTAAATTATTTCATAAGTACTTATCAAATATTTTAATTGAACCTAAACGCCCCGGTTTACGATGGTCTTCTTATTCTCACCTCTTCTTAACTCGTGTTAAACACTCTTTTGCAAAATCTGCTTTCTCTTTTTCTGGTCCTTTTCTCTGGAACTCTTTACCTTCTTCTCTGACTACTTCTCCATCACTAACAAAGTTCAGAGCGGATCCCAAGACTCATCTGTTTTCAAAACTAATTGAGGAGCGCTGTTGAATATCGCGGAAATAGCGATTTATAAACTAATTGATTGATTGATTGATTGGTTGGCTGATTGATTGATTGATTGATTGATTGATTGATTGATTGATTGATTGATTGATTGATTGAACACCCTACTACACTACACCCTATTTAAATGCTACTTTAGACAATAAATTAAATGAATTTAGAGTTGTTGTTGAGACGTATAATCCATCGGTTGTTGGTGTAAGTAAAACATGGTTTAAAGATAGTTCAATTGTTAATATAAACAACTTTAATGTATCTAAAAAGGATAGAAATGATGGAAGTAGTGGTGGTGGAGTGTGTCTGTTTATCAATTCATCTGTCAATTCTTATGAAGTCAAAAATGCTGTTTTCAATAGGAGCAAAATTGCATAATTATTTTCCGTTATTTGTCTTGATCATGATAAATATTTGGTGGAGTGTATCTATAGACCAGATTATTTTGTGGATGTGATTGATCTTGAACTTGTCTTCAAACAAGCTAAAAATTACGTTGTTGACAATAGGGATTTTAAAGATGTTCTGACAATGGGAGATTTTAATTTCCCATTAATAAAATGATCAGTGACATTGAACACAAATTTAGCAACATAGTTCCTTTATCAACAAGTTAACGTACCAAGATTTCAAAAGTCCAATGGTGTAACAGAGAACATTTTGGATTTGATTTTTACAACGGAATCAGGAAACGTATATTCAGTAGATCCAAATTTGGTTCTTGGTAATATAAGTAAGGAAAATTTTAGGGAAATATCTCGAGTAATATCTAATATAGATTGGACTAAATTATATGAAAACATGACTGTACAACAAATGTATTACGAATTTTTTTATTACATAAGTGGGGTAATCAATATTTTTGTACCCATAGTCGATGCAAAAAACGTCGTAATAAAACAGCTCCATGGACCAATTCACATTTAAAATCGCTTTCTAGAAAAAAATGC